GCGCCATTATTCCATGGCTAGAAATTGGCCTCAATGATTTGGGATCGAGGGGGATTATCCCTCTTTATCCTGCCTCATCTCGTGTAGGTCTGGACAGCCTTCATAGGTGGGTCCCATCCGTCGTCTACCCCGACCGCAAATGCGGCCGGTGTAGGCGCTTTGTCTGACCTCCTTTTGTCCTAACTGGGCCCCGCCGGCTAGGGCCCTTACTTCTAGCATAGTAGCCATGAAATTTAAAATAACCTTTCAGTTTTCCTGTCAAAAGTTAATTGTAAGTTTTGATAGCATAAAATTTAGCTGGCGTTACTCATCCTGGGATGCGCTTTGCTAAGGNGAACCGAAGCGTTCCATTTTTTTTGACGTTTATTGACAAAAGTTAAAACTATCGTTGCCATGACATAGTTCACAGTGTTGGAAGAGGCGAAACACCAAAACGGTTATACCACGTCGTCAAGAGTATAATCGCTTATCAGTACATAGTAACTACGTAAAATTTGTAATTGCTATTGGCTAAATTTCTAATGAATTATATAATCATTAATATTAGCTACTTTTCAGCGCTAATTCAATTTTTATTCATATGACAGTGGCGGAGATTTTCAGATTGCGTGAGGTACTTTTGCCCCTAATTTATACGACTCTGGAAAAAATTGTAATCATCAATCATCAAAAGCTCAATTTCAAGATAAATAGTGTTTTATGATAGAAGACATAAAAGTGGCAACATGATAAAAAAAAATTATTATCACAACAGTTGTTGAAATGGCCTCCTCCTACAGTAATGGAGACTTTCAACCTACATCAGAGTGACTGTACCCGTTCGAAAATGCTAGGAGTGTTGCAGATCATATTGCAGGGTGCAATAATACAATTCCTCAGTTCTTCAACAGTATTAACTTCTTAAGTGACCTCAGAGAAAAATTCAAAACGTTTAGATTTGGAGACCGAGAAGACCAAGCCTGTGGGCCTCCTCGACCTATCCAGCGGTTCGGATACCGTCCATTTAAGAACTGACACGTGACTAAACTAAAACACACAGGAACAACATTGTGCATGAACTATATTTCGGTTCTTAATTGAATCAGAAGGTCTTCTAAAAATCCTGGCAGCTCTTCTTCAAGAAAATCACGATATGATTGACCATTTAACCTTAACAGCAAAAAATATGGCCCTATTAAATGATCTCTGTATGTGATAAAGATCTAACATCGGGCTTTTTAATATCCTTCACACTGTAACGTGACTAAGGTTCAAGTTTGAAGCTATTTTTCTAGTGCTTGTGGCTGGATCGTCTTCGATTTCTCGAAGAACAGCGTCTTCCATTTTCTGAAGAAGCAGGCTAAGTCGTCCATTTTCAGCAGTTCTTTTATGAAAACATCCAGTTTCATATAGACGTGCATGAATACGAATAAATGTCTTTTCATTTTTTGGTACCTACCTGTCGGTGTCGGTTTGGAAACCTTTCTTGATAAATTCGTCTCGCTTCATTTCCATCGGCAACGCTATAAACAAAATGCATATCACACATATCACTATCATTGTAATTCTTATTTTTGTCACTAAGCAAACAAAATACCAAGAATAAGCAAATTAATTAGGTAATACATGTAATAAGTATCTACAATATTGACTCCTTTTGTAAACTAACTTCAACTGTCACTAATAATGTCAAAAAATGAAATGGACAACTAAATGGAAAATAAATGTTTTTGTCAACTACAAAACACATTGCCACTTTCTTTCATGTTTTCCATTATAGAACGCCATTTATCTTGAAAACTGTTACATTAGAGCTTTTGATGATGAGTACCTTTTTTGTGTCGAAAACATTGGTGGTCAAATATGTTATGCTAAAATACCAATTATTCCAGAGTCGTAAGGGCAAAAGAACCTCAGGCAGTCTTAAAATCTCCACCACTGTCATATGAATAAAAATTGAATTAGCACTCTAGTAGCTAATATTAATGATGATACATGTACAAAATTTGAGTTCTGTATCTTAAACGGTTCCCGAGTTATCGTCAAAAAACTGAAAAAAAATCTTTTTCCTTCATTTTCCCACATATGTTTTGAAATACCCTGTATATTTACACAATGAATACATATTAGTCTTTCACAAATATTTTATGTATGATCTAAAACTAATTTTATAATAAAACATATTCCATAATCCAAATACCAAAATAAAGGTTAATAAATTCTATATCTTCTTTGCTATTAGAAATAAGTTCCTGTTATGTATCAGTATTTCCAAAAGTCTGACCATATGAATAAAAAAAAATCTTAAAAAATTTGTTACATTATTTACATTATTTGTTACAGTAGAACCTCGATAATCCGAACTAATTGGGACCGGGGTTGGTTCGGACTATCAAATCCTTCGGATTACCAAACAAAGTGCTTTCCAGGCATAGTAGCATGCAAAAAATGAACACTGATATACTTATTTCCCATAAAATAAGGAGCACGTTGTATTGTTAAAGGTATAAAATAGTTTGTTTTATGAAATACATACTACTGTGCTACAGTAAGGTAACTATATTTTATGTAATGTATTGCACATGAATTTCGTAATATTTTTAGTATACAATCTTATACACACACAGAAAGTACAGTACTGTACACACACAAAAAATTATACTGTACAGAAAGATAAAAAAATTAAAGAAAACAAAAAACTCAACAAAGAACATTCGACAAATAGTCACTCATTTTTTTCTGAACTAAGGTTGAAGAATGTTAGAGAGTGACTGAAGGCAAAAACCAACACAGGCACAATAACAACACACACGATGCAATGTTTACTATGGTGATGCTCTGTTTATTGTAGCAGTTAGAGAGCGATTCTGATTACATACTATTTTTATTTTTCACAAAACGGCGTTTGGATTATCGAGCGTTCGGATTACAGGGGTTCGGATTATCGAGGTTCTACTGTACATATATTATTTTTATTCAAACGGCAGCTGTGTATATTGGGCATTTTTATAGGTTGTTTAGTTACCAGTTAAATTTAACATAAAATAAAACTTACTGCTAAAGTAAACACGTTGCAGTTTTTAGAAGTGATTAATTACTAAAACTTTTATATGAAATTCCAGAAATATGAATATGGTAGGTCTGGAAACCCCACAAGAAATGTTTTAGAAAATGTCCTTGCGAAATTAGACAATGGAAAGTATGGTTTAACATTTGCATCGGGTTTAGGGGCCACGACAACATTGTTTGGCTTGCTTCAAAGTGGAGACAACATACTTGTTGGTGATGATGTGTATGGAGGCACCAACCGACTATTTAACAAAGTGGGGGCAAGGTTTGGACTTGAAATTACATTAATTGATTTAACTGATCTCCAGAATTTGGAAAAATCAATAAAGCCAAATACCAAGGTAATAAAAATTAATAGAAACATACTAAATAGTTTTTGCAGCTGTAAATATTTCAGGTTGTTTGGCTAGAGACACCAACAAACCCAACTCTGAAAGTAATCGACCTAAAAGCCGCATCAGAAATTACAAAAAAACACAATATCATTCTTGTGGTGGACAACACTTTTGTAACTCCTTATCTTCAAAGACCACTTGATTTTGGAGCCGATTTAGTTTTGTATTCACTTACGAAATATATGAATGGGCACTCGGATGTAGTTATGGGTGCTATAATTACTTCAAATAAAGATCTTTATGAGAAGTTGAAGTTTCTACAAAATGGTAGGTACATGAGTTTATTAAATTTATTTGTATTTAACCTTTTCTAGAAATTGGATCGTATTTGAAATACACCATTATCTATTTTCAAGGTCACTGATTACAAATCACTAAAAACTCGAGATCTTTTTATCCTCCATGCAAAGAAAGTGGGATCGCTATAAAATTAGTTTTCTAGTTTTCATGATAATTAAGAAACTGAATGTTTCACTACAATTATTATTGGACCTGTCATTTCATGACTAGAACTGATTATTTGGATTCTGAGAATAATTAGGATTCATTTTCAGCAATTCGGATTCGACCAAATAACTTTCAGGAATATTTGGGATTTATTTTTATTGATATTCTAGAAGTGTTTTTTTCGATAGAGAAAATTTTCTTAGCGACAGAATAATATCCTGATATTATTTATATATTTTCTCCATATTGACAGTTATTTTGAGAGCTGACAGTTGTCAAAATACTTTGGAATCATCATCAGAACTCTCGACAATGTATAAAATGGTCTCTTGATATTATTGAGTAGCATTTTCCACATACAGTTCTCTGGACAATTGACTGTTATTAGAATACATTTTTCTAATTGCAATTATCGTCACCGATCTCAAAAACAGAAAATATAGGTCGCATATTATTTATACAACATTTTCACCATGTTCACAATAATTTTAACAGCTGTCAAGTGTCAAAATTTACCTGTTCACAGATATTTTGATAGTCAAAATACCTTTTTGGCTCCGAGATCGTAATCAGCAGCCTCAGAAATATGAATGTCGGTGTTATCATCGCGGTGCAAAACTGCATAGAATGATTTTTGTTGGAAAAAGCCAGGTTTTCTCATATCTTTTTGTTTATAACCATGGGCATTATAACAAAAAAAACATGCAATCAACAACTTTTTGTTTGATTCTAAAAAAAAGGTGGCTCAATCAGTGACTTATCAATATGAGTTATTATTGGATCTTTTTTTTCAGAGGTGGGCACCGGGCTTTTTTGGGGTGGACCGTGCATACCCCTGCCCCCCCTCCTCCCCTAGCTACACCCTTGTTAATAACACAGGAAAAATTATAAAATACCATGAATTTGGTTTCATGAATTCCCAAACGCTATTGAATGACAAAAATTTACCCAGATAAGGTTCAAAATATAGAAAATGGTAAGCTTGCCCCTCAAAAGGGGTTAAAGGATTTAATATGTAACAATGGGTTGTAGCTAAAATAATAAAACAAGCTAGAGGTGTTTCAAGTTAAAATATATTGTCTTAATATTAATTATTTAGTTGTGGAATGTCTTAGTATTTTTTCTTTTTTGTGTCTTGTCATCAAAAATCAATTGTTTAGGTTTTTTAAAATTATTTTTACATAACGAAAAATGTCAAAACAAATGAAACAAGAAACAAGATGAAAACATTGCTATATAATTGTCTTCAGTTAATGTTTTGAAATAAAGAAATTTATTTTTTCACAGTTTCACTTTACACATTTCAAATAGAGCTCGATACGGGGACCGCCTAGCTGGGTGTCTTGGCCGATGGATTTCGATCGGCCGAGGTAAGCATCACGGACGCAGGCTGGAACTTGGATGGGTGACCTAAGGCAGGCTCGGGACGTAGCTGTGGTAGCCTACCAGAGTCCTGGGTCGCTTAACACCTTCCGCCTGCGTATGGTCCCCGATAAAATGGTAATGAGAATAGAGCAAGAAATCTCTGTAACTCAAGACCATGCTATCATACATAAAAAATTGTATGACACTTTGCCACCAAGCCACCCATGTAGTAATAGGATGGTTTGAAGAAAAGTATTCGAGTAATGAAAGGCGGGTGTACAATGGACCTAATAAGGCCTACGTGCCGCGGTGGAAAAGCAATTTTCCACCACCCCCCCGACATACATACATACATACAGCTCGATACAATGAATTATTGAGAATTTAATGCATTTTATTAGTTTATAAAAATTAAAAATTGATTTCCATTATAAGTAATTTCCATTAAAATTAATTAACGCTAAAGTTGTTACTTTTAGTTTTAAATAACAAAAATATATTATGATTATAATATGATCCAGGTATAAGAAATACTTATAATGAAATCATAATAATTTTTTTTATAGTTATGCGTAATTGTTTTAACCCATTAAATTGTTGAAGAAACTGGTCCACTATATTTGCGGCACCTTTTTACATGTGACAATAAAGAGTGACCCAAAATTTCAGCCGTTTCGTCGACCTCACGAATTCGTTTTGAAAGTGGTCTAAATGGTAGCTTGTGATACTTTAGAGTAGGCAAAATTTTAAGTTGAGCATAGTTTTTGTTTTGGAGATATGACAAGTCGAACCTGTGAGTTGGCTTGTTCACATCAAGATGAATCCAACATTCTCGGGATACTCGTTCATTGTGTTCAAGATTCTCAAATATCCAAAGTGTACCATTTCCTATGTAAAATCTTTTATTCTTTATGAACCTACCATTAGATTTTACCAAACACTTTGTTTTAATGAGGTACTGCCGATTTTACAAAAAAATCAGGATTTTTGCTATCATTAATATTCAATTAATCGGTATTTTTATACTGGTGACTTACAAAATCTCGATAGATACTCTAAACCTTGTATCCTAATGACTTTGAACTAGGTTAATTTGGATGTAATATTAATAATGATGAAAAAAAATAATAATTGAGTAATCAGTGTATATTAACGATTTTTTAAAATTGATTCTATTGCATGCATACAATTATGTATCCTTACAACAGTTAGGATAAGATTAGATATTCTTTAAGAAAGCATCATGTTGTGAGGGACTACACTTTTTGCAAGCAGTGAGTTTACATTTTCATCACTCAGATCATGTAAAATAATACGCAACTATTTTCTTCTGATTGCTCGCCAAACCGAGTGACTTTAAGTGTTTGGTATATCTTTTAAGTGGATATATAAATCCATCAAGATTTGCTATGTTTTCAGTATAAAAATATTGTTAAATCAAAGATATTTAGCAAAAATGCAAATTATTTTTTACTAAAATCTTTAACTTTCTTGTACTATATTTCTGGTAAAATGAAAGATTCGAAAAGATGGAAAATTTTACGTTATAAATGTTACAGCTTGTATTTGTTGAGAATTTTAAGATAACGCATGAGGTCACTGAGAATGTCGGGTTCGCCTTGCCGTGGATGAATCAAATAACGTGTTTAACTTGTCATATCGTAAAAATTGAATGTATGCTCAACTTGATTTGCCTACATTAAACTATCATTTAGATCACTTTTGAATTGAATTCTTGAGGTCGACAAAACAAGCGAAAAGAGGGTTTTTTTGGATCACTTTTTGGCTAATTTATTGGTTAAATATAATGTTACCAAATTTTAAATTAAAAATTAGTCATTATAGCAGCATTAGATATATAGGACAAGGTCTGTCTAATTGAAACTGCCCACAGTTTTAAAGAAGTTAGGCCGTCTGCAGCCAGGGGGCAGTGACATCGAGGTTGCCAAGAAATTATGCCTTCAAAAGATGCAATTTGTTACTTAAACTGTTATAATAGGGTAATAAAAGTAATAAATGTAATAAATACTAATGGTAAATGTTAGATTTGAGGGTGTCGATCACAATGCCCCCCGGATATTGTCGGCCTACAAACATCAAAATTCGTGGGCAAGCATCAGCTCTTACTTCGACTTATCTGTTAGCGTAGTTTATAAAACCAATGATAACAGTTAACCACAAATAGCAAAAAGATATACGGGATGTTATGATATTCGTGCATACGGAAAGTAAAATACACTTAAAATTTGAAAAGCAAAGCAAATTGTATACCATTCTGACATTAAAGTTTCATTTTGCTTGTAAAATATTGTGAGGTTTGGAAATGGAAAGTATTGTGAATTTTTATTATAAGTATATTAAACAAATATACAAAAATCTGAGAAAACATGAATGAAGTAATGTTGTTTTTATACAGTTTAAGGGTGTTTTTCATAGTTTCCATCCCCATACTTAGAATCACCGAAAATCAGTCATTGCAATCAAAACTTCAATATTCGCAGTTCAGTTGAAACCAATGTCCATATTGGCAAAAAAATATTACAGAGCCTTCACAAATTATTACAAGCCACATGACCAGTAATTTTGTTTGGAACAGTAATGTTATTTCCTTCATGTTGGCGACTAAATTTCGGTAAAATTAAAGATTATTAAAACAAGATCAAGATTATATTAAGACACAACATTCTATGTAATTTTTCAAGCGTAAACATTAATGGTTTGCATTGTTCATGCATGCACGAATCATTAATATTGGTATAGTCGTTATGATATCAGTTGGAACCGCATAAAAACATTTAACTCATAAACTTTACGCAATCCATAGGTGTCGAGGAAAATTTTGTCCTGTCTCGTCTAGAAATACTATATTCCGAGCTATATATCCTATTTAGTTGATGATATTCTCGAATTTTTTGTAAATAATCTTCCCGAAGTGCAACTATACGTCGTGATTCCATAATTACCAGACGATTGTCGAGTTTTTTTATGTTTAAAATCTCATTGTAATAAAACATGTTGTAAAGTATCTAAAAATTTATAATTATAATCAGGATAATCGCTTCCTTTATCTCGAATCATGTTTAAAGAAGGAACTTTATTTTCTTTATAAATTGTACACTATATTACATCTCTGGTAAAATCGTCAATATTTTTTAATTTTGTATTTTTCCTTTTCTTCTTTGTACTGTGATTAATAACGTTTCCTTCTTTAATTACGCGATAAATTGTCATTTTTGATATCTTAGTTAATTCGCTAATCCGTTTCCTAATTTTTTTATCACATTGTTCACTATTTTCTCTTTTCAAACATTCGTATATATTTAAAATAATACGTTGACTTGGTATGTGTAAATCTTTGTTATTAAACTCTGAGTTTGTTTTGACGGTTTGGACAAAAACCGGCTCGACTATTTGGGGATTTTCCCGGGTTATTTCATTATTTTCTGTTTCAAAAGGTCTCCAGAAAGCCATGCTAAATTACTAGATAATTACATATAATATTTATTTTAATAACTGTACTGGTTACGATATGAACAAATATTAATATAAACTAATAATTAATAATACGTATTACACCAACAATAAATATACTACACCAAGCACTGCTCTCCACGGCACTGACAAAGCCAAGTCAACCGCGTTTGACACCAAACTAATTATAGAATACCATGCAAAAAATTATTTACAACCTAGTGGACCAATACAGGTTTGCTTTGACGACCAGCGCGCCGCCGTCGATTCTACAACAGGCGGATTGGTCTACCAATACCAGACTCGCCTAATGACTATTCGAGTATAAATTACGAGACACATCATGGCTAAAGCATAGGAAGAAATTTCAAGAGAAGTGTGGACGGTCCTCTGCTTTAAGATTCACAGGTTACAATTGATATCGTCACAACTATAACGCCAAGATTTAGGATTTTTTTAATACCAATACCTGTCGTGCAATGTTGGGTTACCTAAGCTTGGCATCACGTGGCTTGTAAACATTTATGAAGGCTCTGTGTATCAATTAAAGTAGGATATGTGCAATTATTATATTCAATTTATACAGGGATGGCCAGAAGTACGGAATAAAATTCATATCTTTTGAATGAGTTAATTTTTTTTAAAACGCCGAAACACGTTAACTGATTTTGATTTTTTCCCATCTTTCGGTTATATAATAATTAATTTTTCTTCAACCCCCTAACCCCCAGCTACCCCTACTTTTTTTTTCAAATGGAAACATAAGGCATGAGGGGGCTCGTTGAAAAGCTTATAGAAAACCGAATCCAGCCATACCAAATAAACAAGTTTTATTTTTTCAATAACAAGTTTTTTTTCATTTAGAAATTGAAACAACTAGATAATTTACAAAAATAAACTCAATGTCGCAAATGCTGAAAATGTCCTCCATTCACTATTTGGCATTCTCCAAGACGATAGTAAAAGCTGTCCACAGCATTCTGAATGACTTCAGCTGGTAAATTATGCATCTCCGCCCTAATCTTGTTCTTTAAATTCTCAATATTATCCGGTCTGTCCTGGTAGACTCTTTCTTTCAAATATCCCCAAAGAAAATAATCCAGGGGTGTTAAGTCGGGGGATCTTGGCGGCCATTCAACTGTACCCCGTCTACCAATCCAGCGATTTGGAAACATTTCATCTAAGTATCTTCGAACATCAATACCAAAATGTGGGGGAGCGCCATCTTGTTGGAACCAAATTCTTTCATTCGGTATATCTGGATCAATTTCATGAGGGAAAATCACAGCTAGAGCAGGTATCAGGTCAAATGTTAGGAAATCCAGGTAGCGTGCGGCAGTAAGATTTTCTTCAAAAAAGAATGGGCCCAAGATTCTGTTGTTGATGATACCTGCCCATACATTAACTTTTTGTGGATGCTGCGTATGCGATTCGCATGTCCAGTGTGGATTTTCCTGGGACCAAAAGCGATAGTTGTGCCTGTTAACCACTCCATTTAAATAAAACGTAGCTTCATCCGAAAAAAGTACGTCTCGTTGAAAACCATTATTGTCGTCACACCGTCTCATCATTTCCTCACAAAATTGTAATCGCCTATCATAATCGTCTTCCAAAAGCTCTTGGACAAGACATACCTTATAGGGGTGGTATTTCTCTTGTTTCAGAAACATTCGAATTGCAGTTCGAGAAGCATCGTGATTGCGGGCCAATGAAACAGTTGAAGTATGAGGATTTTCAACAAGTTCTAATGCAATGTCTAATTTCTTTTCTTCATTCAAAGCACGTGCCCGTCCAGTTTTGGGCAAAGTCTGTACTGTACCGTGTTCCTCAAATTTGTGAAATATTTTACTAACTGTCCCTTGCGAGATTTGGTTTTCGGGATATTTCGCATTAAATAAATCGCGCACTTCAGCCTGACTTCTTATTTTGTCTCCACATCCAAGCAATATCAAGATTTCGATGCGTTGCCTTTCCGACAATACCATTGCAATTCAGTAAATAACTTGATTTTGACACAATAGTAACGTTTCGAACTCCAATTTACAACTAAAGCGAAAAATTAACCAGAAAGCCTGGCAAGTAAGTGGTGCCAAAAAAACGCAACATAAAAAATATATCTTTTTTGCGTTAGCAGTGATAGGTACAGTTTCAAATTCTTTATTTTATTCTGTGCAAATTCATGGAGGATAACACTGAAGATAATTAAATTTTATTTCACTTGTTAAGTAGGTGTTTTATACAACCCTAAAAACCTTGCTATTGAAAAAATAAAACTTGTTTATTTGGTATGGCTGGATTCGGTTTTCTATAAGCTTTTCAACGAGCCCCCTTATGCCTTATGTTTCATTTTAAAAAAAAAGTAGGGGTAGCTGGGGGTTAGGGGGTTGAAGAAAAATTAATTATTATATAACCGAAAGATGGGAAAAAATCAAAATCAGTTAACGTGTTCCGGCGTTTTAAAAAAAATTAACTCATTCAAAAGATATGAATTTTACTCCGTACTTCTGGCCATCCCTGTAGAATGCATGCAGTATAACAAAAATGTGAGAGCTAATAATAAAATATGTATATGTTTTTTTTAACAAATGTCCACATTGTGTCCAGTTTATTGAAGCTAGAAAATTTACCACAGTTTATGTATTGCATGGTCCATCTACCTTGGTAAATTTCTTGATCAATTTATTAGGACAAAAATTGGAGAATGCAAGTCAGGCTTTAGGAAGAAAATACTAAATTAATTATTGATTTCGTAGCCATGGGAGTAGTGCCAGCACCATTCGATTGCTATCAGGTTCTCAGAAGTCTTAAGACTTTAGCTATTAGAATGGAACGACACCATGAAAACTCCTTAGCAATAGCCAAGTACTTGGAACAACATCCAAAGGTAGACAAGGTGCTACATCCATGTATGAATCAAAATGTATATCTGATATAGAAATATTTTATTACTTAATATTGTAGGTCTGCCGTCTCATCCTCAATATGAATTGACAAAAAGGCAATCTAGCGGCCATAGTGGTGTGTTTTCTTTTTATATTAAAGGTGGATTAGAGCAGTCTAGAACATTTTTGAAAGCCCTTAAAGTTTTTACATTGGCAGAAAGTTTGGGCGGATATGAAAGTTTGATTGAATTGCCGTAAGTAATTATTTTTAATAAAAAATAATCATTTTGCATATTCGTAATTGTAGGAGGTTTACTTTCATAAAGATATCACTTTGTTTTAGGTGTGTTATGACTCATGCCTCAGTACCACCAGAATTGAGAGACACTTTGGGAATATCTGATACTCTCATTAGATTGTCTGTAGGAATTGAAGATGCTGAAGATTTGATAGCTGATATGGAGCAAGCATTTAGTCAAATCAATTAACAATAATTACTAAAAAAATGTTAGAGCAATATTTTTTCCAAAGGGGTAATTTTTTATTAAATTGTTTATTTTTTATTCAGATTTTTATGTAAATAACAATGTATATGAAAATTTTATTCAATAAATATATTTTAGTAATATTAAAGTATTCAGAGAACCCTCCCCTTTTTATTATTTTCAAAAAAATAGCAGTTTGTTTTATTTTATTTATTTATTTTTTTGAACATACAGTGGAGTTTGTTTATAAAAACATCTCAGGGGATAGTGAAATGGCATCGTACAATTGGATGATTTAATAAGGAAATCAAAAATTAATCTACATGAAACCAAACCAAAGGGTGAAAACAATGCGATTGATCATTAAAAGCGGAATCGTAATAATCAATCTCGACAGCAATTTCAATTACAATTCAATTATCAATCTTTAAAATAAATTATATTCAGAGTGTTGCACTAATTGACTAAAAAACCATACAGATGATTTTGTGACTAAAAATAAGAGAAACATAGGTCGATTTTAAGATATAGAACGTAAATAAAATTTTATTGCTTACAGTTATTCTGATTTGTTTTACGTTTCTTGGTTGATCGAATGGTGCCCAATGGTCCTATTCACGGGCAGGTTAGGTTATGCTTGAAATAATATTTTTACCATTTTGTTTAAAACTAGCCGACATACCTAATCCAAAATAACCATGTTTTAAGGGGAATATCCGAGTAGAATAAAATATTTCAAACACTTTTTTTTGCCCGCCTTAAAGTTTGTAGTCTTAACAATATTGTGTGTAAATTTCATATCAACATTCTAATCATTGTGGAAGTTATGGATAATTTATTGGAATGCATTAGGCATCAAGGTGGGAAGACACGCTGATCAGCATTGTGAGATCGAAGATGTGGAACTTGTGCTTACCGCCCAAGTCTAAACTCACAACGCACCTCGTGGAGGAAGGATTCAGTGAAGGCAGTCATGGATCACTCTAAAAGGTACTGCTAGTGCTTTAAGGGCCTACTCTATGATCCAGGAACTGCAGATTAACAGTATTGTAAAAAAAAATTTCCAATATAATATACAGGCTGTTACAAATTCGCTTCTCACTACAGGAATCTCGAAAACAGTAAGAGATACAAACTAGCTTAAATGGGGGCAAAGTTGCGTAATCAGGGGACCAATCTGCCTCTAAAAAATCAAGGCTAACATGATTAGTGTTTGAGGTGACATTGAAAAAAGAAGAACACTTTCTCATGGCTATTTTTTGCCTTCTATCGAATAGTATAATAAATTTTTATATGTAACGTTTCGTCTCTCCAGGACCATCATCAATTTTTTAAATACGACCTTAGAAATTTTATTACATTTTTTTCAAGCCTTCATGACACCCAATACTGTACTGCCTCAGCTCGAACCAGATTCAGACGTTTTGTTGAAAAATTCTTCAGTATATTCGTTCCAAATTTATCTAAATTTTTTATTTAGATTTTGTTTATTGAATTATCGTAAACTATAAGTGTCGTTAGAGCCTGTGAAATCCATCTAGTTATATAAACTATTACCACCACGTATTAAAATAAAACATTATTAGAGTTTTATTCCTGTGTCCATGGTTATATCTAGGCTTCTCGAGTGCTAAAAATTCAAACAAACTCCGATTTATTTTCTTCAGGATATTAATACAAATACATCTGACATGCTCTTTCACAGTTACAGTTACAGATATAATAAATTCTGATAATATCACGCTGCTCTTTATTTGCCATAACAAAAATGTTTTTGAAAATTTACTGAAATTTTTTAAAGAATAATATTCAGTTGGCATTTTGGTTGTTCATATGCATTTTTAAGAATTAATTTGTCATAATAAAATTAAAATTGTAATAACGTTTTAATTTTGACGCAACAACTTATTGAGTTATATATGACCAAGTGATGTGGTAATAGTTAATAATAATAAATGTTTTATTGAAACGCGTGGTGGTAATAGTTTAAATAACTAGATGAATTTCACAGGGTCTAAAGACACTTACAGTGTACGATAATTCAATAAATAAAGAAATCTAAATAAAAAATTTAGATAAATTTTGAAGGAATACACTGAAGATTAATTTTGTGAGACAAAACGTCTGAATCTGGTTCGGGCTGAGGCAGTACAGTATTGGGGGTCATGAAGACTTCCAAAAAAAAAAAATGAAGTCGATGATGGTGTTCTTCTTTTTTCAATGTCACCTCAAACAAGGCTGAAATGAAACAAAAACGGATTTCCAAAATTTCGTTTTTTTTTAAATATTTCGAAAACTAATCATGTTAGCCTTGATTTTTTAGAGGCATAATGTTGGCCCCCTGATTACACAACTTTGCCCCCATTTATGCTACTTCGTATTTCTTACCATTTCCGAGATTCCTGTAGTGTGAAGCAAATTTGTAACAGCTGTATAGGGTATTTCCTAAGTACACTCCATAACATCGGGACACAAACGCTTAGATTTTGAGATACAGGGCGTTGAAAATTAAAAAAAATATATTAAATGAAATAAATTTGGAAGTCAATGTTACGTTCTTAAAATTTGGCAGTTATTGTACGTTGGTAAAGAGCTATATTTTTAGTATAAAGTAAATTTTTATCTGCTGACAGTGGCATAGTTAGGCTTGAGTCAGTTTTCGTCATAACATGTAGAACGCCAATGGATTTTTTAAAATTTTTAATTTCGGACTCGGCTAACATTTTACAACAAAAAGGGTGTCTTGAATTTTTTGTCTAATACTAAACCATACTTAGGTAAATGTCCAGAGACTGCAAATAACAATCATAGAAATAATCAGTTTCGACACAAAGTCAAAGCAGATGGAAGCAGATCCTAGTTACAAAATCGAATAATAATTCAAAGTTGTCATGTCATACAAAATTCTCCAGGAATTTTTGAATGAGCGAGACAATCAATGATGAAACGATTGGAATCGTGCGTTTTATGAGAAGGTGGCCATTTTCAACATCTCCGGACCGTACTTAGTAAACACCCTGTATATGTATTATGTAATTATTATGAATTTTTTATATAAAATAGATTTTTCCAAAAAAATTCTCCAAGCTTGGAATATGAAAAATATTGTGTGTAATAATGTTATCTTAATATTCCGAGAACTGTAAGAGTAATGGGCGATTTACCAAGAAGCTGACAAACGAGCAAGTTCCAAAGCATGTCAATTCTTTGCCATGTTTCCATTGCGATTATCTCCAAACAAACTATTCAAAGTTAGTGCTCAAAATATTTTGAAAACGGCTGTACCGATTCATTGCTTCCAAAATTTGACAATATTTTCGAACAGTTTTTTTTTTATCAAGCCAGGAAAGGATTGAAAATGAATGTAAAGTTCAATCGTCCATTATTTCGCAAAAATTTATTTTTTTAAATACATGTATACTATGTATAAACCTGGATAAAATCGAACAGATATTTTTTGAGATAACAATTCCTAAAATTCACCTATTTTTTCTGCTGTCTATTTGGATGTTGCTAAAGACCAAAAAAATTAAATTAAAGATCAAAGAGTTCGTAAAATAGAGAAGTTATACTTTCTTACAATATTCAGTGATGTAAAAAAGCTAGGATTTAGAAGTATCACTTGTAGATTATTTTGAACGGTAACTACCTATTTACTTGATATTGCTGGTACAATTAATGCTAGCTGTAGCCCACAGAATAGCTTTTTCCCACAATATCAACAGTTAGGATTCTTGCCTACGAGGTCAGATATCTTTTGCATGCTTAAACTATTGGTATTAAAGAACATTTACTTCATTTGATAGCATTTTATACAGTGCCTGATTTACAGTGGTGGGGGCCTATTCTAGAAGAAAATATCCTTTTTGGTAGGCCCCCCCCCCAAAAAAAAATTCTTATTGTATACGCTTAATGGATAGAATTCAAATATTAAGAATAAAAAATAATATCCTTCCCAAATTTTACATTGTTTTAAAAAAGGAAAATTTGTAACAGTTTGGCATTCATATGCCTTTTTGTTTTTCCTGTTTTTTGTTTAATTGAAGAAATTGTAAAATTGACAAATTGATTTGACAGCTTAGTTTTTGTGTTAAAATTCAGTGCAAATTTTTACTTACTCTTATTGAACTAAAAAAAATTACTAAATGGGCGAAGAACAGGGATACCTCCCTTATCCAAACTTTGAAACTCTTTGCATACATCATACCAAAAATGTGAATCAGCAAACTAATGAAAACATATTTACCCCTATTGTTTTTTCCAATTTTTATGAACATAAAGAAAAAGGCAAGTTGTCGGTAAGTTAATGTTGGTTATAAATTTTTAAATATAAATTGTATCCCAATTTAACAGTTAAAGCTGAGATAAATATACACAGAACGTACTTTAGTTAACCTGCCAGAAAAAAACTAAATGCTTCCTAGTACGCTACAGGCCCACAGAAAAAGCTTTAGATTTTAGAATGATTGTCTACTTATTTTGTCTAGAATAAAGTAGAACTGCACCTTTAATTAGTAGTACCCCCTTATTACACTTATTTGGGCTTAAGATTATATATATTTTTTAATATTGAGTGTAGAATTTAAAGAAATGGCAGGTTAATTAGGGGATATCCTGTATAAGTGTAAAGAGGAAATATTTTACTTTAAGAAATATTCACCTGGCATATTAGGAAATCCAACAAGGTCGATTTTAGAAAACTTAGTAACTGTTATGAACAAGGCTAAATATGGGTTGTGCTTTTCGTCAGGGGTAGGTGCTATTATGGCTGCAGTAAGTCTGTTGAAGCAAGGGGATCATATTTTGTGTTCTGATGACATTTATGGTGGAACAACTCACATTTTGTTAGATATAGCCCCCCGGTTTGGTATTTGCACCTGCCATTTGGATCTAACTAATTTAAGCAACTTAGAACAAGCTATCACTCCGAAAACTAAGGTATATATATTATTATTTTGGATCTAATAGTTCTAGAATAGTTCAAAATATGTATAATTTGAATATAAACAAAAAATTTGTTAATTAACAAAGTAATTAAGATTTAATCTTTGAATAACAGGGTTACAAAAAGTAGGTCAAACAGACAGATTCTTTAGGAGAAAATAGTAAGACTTTGCTTGAGTAATTTTTCATTTAGGTGATTCTTTTTCAGTGTACAGAGCGAGTTAAAATTAAAAAAAGTATTTTTAATAATTTCCTATCAGATATGTCGTAGGTAGGGGGCTCAATGTGTTCCACAACACTATTATTATCAAAATTATGTACTCAAAAAATATAATGTACCAAAAACACGACAGTCCTGTTAATAAAAATCTTTTTTTAAATTGCAACTTTTCTATGTCCTGCATCTTGAAAGAGAGATAGGTACGTAAAAGATAAATGGCCTAAGCAATGTTCCAATATGTTTGCCTAAACATTCTGTGGATTTTTTTTAATGTCTCTTATATTTTTTGTTAATTGGTAATATTTAATTTGCAGTTAATATGGACCGAGAACCCAACTAATCCCAAACAGAAGGTGATCGACTTATGTTCTCTTTCAAAAATAGCAAAGGAGAAGAATATTCTTGTTGTAACCGATAATACATTTTTAAGTCCATTTCTACAAAGACCTATAGAACTTGGAGTGGACATATCATTGCTTTCGTTAACGAAATATATGAATGGCCACAGTGATGTCATAATGGGTTCTGTGTGTACAAATAGGAAGGATTTGTACAAGAAACTTAAATACATACAAACCAGTTAGTTGGCAATTTAACATTATAATATACAGGGTGTTTTCTAAATTTGTGTACCAACTTCAGGTTGTTGTTCCATAAGTCATTTTAAACCAAAGCCTTGATGAATTATGGACCTAAAGTTTTTAATGTGTTGATATTTAAAAAAAAAACATTTGTCTTCAATATCTCTGAAGAAATTTGATTTAGGTTAATCACGTAATTAATTATGGCAAAAATTCACTTGTTGCTTGCATTCTTACCAAAAATCCCAGAATAACGATACCAGCGTGTATTTTGAAAATAGGATAATTCATTCAGTTATTTTTAAGGAGTTATTTTTTTTAAACACAATGTAACCACTGTTCCTCAGATAATTAAAAAATTGAGGTCAATTTTAAAATATCTTTAAAATTATTTCCCTCGTAAAAAAATTTGCAAGTATTTTGTGATTGGGATACGATTTTACATACCATGTAATCATTAAAAATATAAAAATATCATTGACATAAAAATGGATCTATTTAAGGGCTGTAAATAAATAATTTTAAGTATTCATTTGACACATTTGTATACAGGAGTTTAGTAAATATCTGTCTTAAATTAGATTAATTATTGACTGAAGTTTTATTAATTCACATTAAACAACTTCAGAGATAAATGTGATATTGCTCTAAAAATTCAACACTTTGTATCTCAAAAACCTTTTAGGCCATTGGTTTATTAATTATATTATAAATTTCTCCAATCATTAAGGAGTATTGTTACTGATTTCTATGAAATATTATACAGAGTGTCTGGAAAATCTTTTTACATTGAAACGACCTAATCGCTTTAGAAGTCATTTCTTTAGTTCTTTGCTCAATAGTGAAAGTATATTTGATTTTAGATTTTGGTCATGTACCCTGTCCCTTCGATTGTTATCAAGTCATTAGAGGTCTGAAGACATTACCTTTTCTCATGAAGAAGCATCAGTTTAATTCAATGGAAATTGCAAAGTACCTAGAGAGTCATCCCAAAATCGAATCTGTTTTACATCCAGGTAATCGATTTTTAGATTTAAACATACCGTTTTAAAATTTTTCTAATATTTTCATAGGGTTGCCGTCTCATCCACAATATGAACTATTTAAAAGCCAAACAAGTGGGTACAGCGGAATGGTTTCCTTTTATCTAAAAGGAGGAGTAGAAGAGTCTCAAAAATTTATGAACGGTCTTCGGTACTTTACACAGGCTGTAAGTTTAGGGGGATATGAAAGTCTAGTGGAAATGCCGTAAGTATATTTATTTAGCACAATATTTTTCATCACTTTTGCAATATATCCATTTTGTAACAAAGACTAATTTATTAGGTTACTAAACAGTCATCATAATATACCGGAAGAGCTACAGAAAAGGATGAAATACACGGGAAATTTAATTCGAATGTCAGTTGGACTTGAAAATGTATGTGATCTAATTGAAGATTTAGAAAATTCCTTAGCGAACATGTAAATTTTAAACTGAAAAAATATATTACGCTGCATATTGTTCCACTGTTTTTGTTAAAACACAATTTTCATTCAAGTAAGCATAAGTAAACAGAAGTGTCTGAATAATTTGATAATTCAATTAAATGAATCTGCAGCAATATTAAATATGTTTTTAAGACTTCGACCGATTTATTTCTATTGATATAAAAAAATAGAGATGAAAGTAATAGTCACTCCTTGAAGCTGCCCCTACCACAAAAAGAGAAGTGCTAACAATATTGTGTAAATTAGTATCTAGATGTCTTAGTTTACAATAAATCTAAAATAAATTTTGCTCTATTTAAAAAGTGGGTGATCTGCTCCTGTAGATGAATATCATCCAAGTCCTATAATGATTTTAACTTGAGTCTCGGTTAAAGCTTGATTAACTAATCAGGCGATTAGACTGTGACTTTATAAAATAAATCAGTATATGAAGAGTCTAATCGCCTGATCAGTTAATCAACCTTTAACTAAGACTCAAAGTACTGGGCCTTAGTCTACTAACGAAAACTACTAAACTGGATCCTAATTTTTTACAAATATTGATGGTATAATTCAATGCCAGCTGGGGTATATAGCTCCTGAAGTAGCTGCTTCCTATAATATCGTTAGTTAAAAATATATTCTGTTTTCTAACGAACTTCTTTATACCAAGTTAGATTTTTCGGAACAGTCAAGAGATAGTAATGTGGCTGTAAATGTGTTTCATACGAAAATAATGCTAATAGTTCAACTTGGTATAACACAATGAGTGAAAAGCTGGATCGATAAAGTCAGGAAGATGTAATATACCTACATATGAAATGCTGAAAATGTGTAATGTGTCTGGAATGTGATCGACTTGGAACCATGTGGTGTTTGTTAAGTCACAATTGAATTAAGTCAGAATTTCATGTCAACCAAATTATTTATTTTCTTCCATTACATTTGAAATCAGAGTAAATATCAAGGTGATTTATTTACATTTCGATTTCGATTGCAAGATCGATGTTTAATTAAACAATTAAAACAAAGAAATGCTTTGTTTTGACTATAATTTTATTTAATTTAGGCTAGAATGCGTTTTTCCAGATTTTCCTCCAGATCTACCAGATTTCTTTTTTTTTCAACTTAAAACATTCAATTGAGTTGTTTCCATCCCATTTTAATTTTTATTTATAGGTATAGAGATTTAAAAAAATTGTATACCAAGCACCCTTATTTTTGTATGTACTATCCTGAAAATATCAGGAGACTGTTTAGAAAATGTATGGGCCTTCAGAGCGATTTTTTGTTTATTTTTTTTTGATAATATCAGTTTTAAGATATTTTAAAAAACTTGACACACGGTAATTTTTAGAATGGCAACATTTTTTTGTTGGTAGGGATTTTTAGAATGCCACATTATTTACTGTAAAAAAAGGTATACTTGTTACATCTTGCCAAAACTCATAATTTCTGAGGAAAATAAATTTTAAATTTAAGGAAAAAGTGCTACATAAATCTAAAATATACCTAAGTATACCTACTTTTAACCGTCGATAACTAAAACTGCAGTAAAAAATTCGTTTTTCTCAGGAACTGTTGCATTAACATTATGCAACAAATATAAATAAAAACGAAATAAATAATAAACTAATAGAATTATAGTAAAAAATTAAACAATTTTTGGTACTTAGGTTAATTGCTTTGTTTTGATCAAAGAAAGCTTTGATAAATTTCTTTACACCTAATTTCTGACTCGTGTTGTATAGTTGATGTGTCATTTGACATTTATTTGAAACATAGAAATTATAAGTTTTATAAAAAAAAGGACAACTTATTAATAGAAAATTATAATGGGTGAAAAGCAGGGATTTCTCCCATTTCCAAAAAGCTTTGATACAATATGTATACATACAAGTATTGATCCTAATCAGTGGAAATCAAAGGCAATTATACCACATATAGTTCCATCTACTGTATTTAAAATCGATGACCCCAGACAACCCTCGGTACCCTATACATTTTCTTTATCATTAAATATACTGATAACACTCTTTTAATAGAAATTTATATACAGCAGATTTGGAAACCCCAACAGATCAATTTTGGAAAAAACTGTAGCTGCAATAAATAAAGCAAAATTTGGCATATGCTTTTCTTCCGGAATAAGTTGTATGATGGGAATTTTAGGTCTACTAAAAACTGGAGAGAACTTGATTTGTTGCGATGACGTCTCTCCAGAAACTTATGAAGTGTTTAATAATATTGCCCCAAACTATGGAATACATTCAACCTTTCTTGATGTTACTGATACAGAGAAATTACACTCATGTATAGAGAATAATACTAAGGTACATATCTTTGTATATATAGTTTTAATAATTCATCCCAGACTGAACGGTTAAAAATAATCAGTGTATAATGATTGTTCATTGCAGTTTTACTATACTTTGGATAGATTTGGATATTATACTTTTCAACTAATGTAAGGAATAAATAGTTTAGTTTTCAGATTACGCAGAATAAAGTAGGAAAACATGATTTAGAACTAAATTTGTATGTGTGATGTAATTCATAGCTAATATGAGGAAGATAGAGTATTAACGGTAGTTTGAAAAATTATTTCAGCTAATTTGGGTTGAGAATCCTTCTAATACCACATTGAAAATAACAGATATTTGCGAAGTGGCTCAAGTAGCTAAAGAAAAGCAGGTTTTGTTAGGTGTGGATAACACATTTCTTACACCATACCTACAAAGACCTTTAGAACTTGGTGCTGATGTAGTTATGCAGTCGGCAACGAAATATATTAACGGACATTCGGACATCATCATGGGCTGTTTATGTACTAACAAATCTGATGTAAACAAGGAGCTTGTGTTAATGCAAGTAGGTAAGAATATCGACAAAAATGTTCTTAGAAACATTTTTGCAAATACAGGGTGTAAAACGATATTACGACAAATTTCAAGGCTTATTCCTTTCCGTAAACGAAAAAAAAAAATAAGAGTAGTGTTTCCCTAAAATTGTTCCTAAAGCCTTTAAGATCTTTCAAAAATTGAATTTAAAGGTCAGGTTTCCATCAGTTACTTAAGATCAATGAAAGATAAATCTCAAACACAGTACAGTCGAGTTCCCTCAGAATAGCTACTTACTATACTGCCAAAAAAATTTGACATTGCTAAGAGTCTCCTTTTACAGATTTGAATTTGAATACACCATTTTTCAATAAAACTTTTGTGATTGTTGAGTCATTCTGTTCCATTCACGATTAAATGTTCAAAAGTCATGATAAAATTAGTCATATTGTGCAAATCTGCGTTTTTAATTGGGAAATTAGAGCAAATTTCTACTGATTGCTACTGAGCAATTAACAATTTCGTGGTTTTAGGACTTTTACTTGTAAACTACACATTCTACAAAAAAAAAACGCAGGCACAAAAGCTTCGACTAGAAATGATCTATCCAAATTTGTAAACGAAGGAAGGCCAAATAATTTGTTTACAAATTTTATATACAGGAATCCTACTGTAAGAAATTTGAGGTCTATATGTTCAGTTCTTAAGTAACTGATCAAAAACTGTTCATTTCTAATCTTTGAAAGATCTAGTCTAGAAATCATTTTAAGAAAAAAATGTTAGGTATTCTTGTCTTTCCATTTGTTTTTTATGAGGAATCATCCCTGAAAATTTGCTGTCACTATTACACCCTATACTACACTAAGACAAAACATTAAATTCCTTAATTATACTGTTGCGGTTGAAGATATTACTGTATTATTATACCATTTTTCAAAATAGGCGCTGGTCTGAATCCTTCTCCGTTAGATTGCTACCAAACATTACGAGGAATAAAAACATTAAATTTAAGAATGGATCAGCATCTTAAGAATTCAGTGATTCTTGCAAATTATTTGGGGCAGCATTCTGCAGTGGAAAAAGTTATTCATCCGGGTTAGTCAAAAATAATGTTGACTAATATTAGGTAATTTATATACAGCGTGCAATTAAAATGCTTGACCAACTTTAATAGTGGATAGATGGCGGCATTACAAATAAAAAAAAAAGGGACTATAAATATGTGTCTGGAAATGCTTCGTTTCTGAGATACAATTTATTTATAGTTATTGAAAGGTTATGGTTTATTTCAAATTGCATAAAATAACAGGTGATCTCATAAATAATTAAGCATTTCAGTAACACCTTGTGTATCGGTATATGGTGGTCTTAAATTGTTTCCTGATATGACGAATCATCTTCAGTATCTTATTAGGTATAAAGGGTTAAATATGTTTTTGGATAAAAAAATCCTTGAAGGTGTCTTATTCTTCGTATTTTAAACTTAAGATTTATTGTATATGGCACTAATTTACACAATTGTTATTTATATTCCAAACCTTCACTGAAAGTTCATGAAAATTAAGATTATCATATTTTGATAATGAAGTTTGAAACCTATAAAGTTTTTAAGATGATTTCTAGTCCCACAGAGTTTTCACGAAGAAAAAAATTTGAAGTAAAGGACCCTGCATTAATCTTATGGATTTTGGCCCCTGGTGAATTTCTCTGTAACTTTGGGAAAAGATAGGTTTCGACCTACTGATCAAATATCTCCATGGGCACAAAGCCCAAAAATCACTCCTATGGGCCCTACCGGGGGATTTTAGCCCAAAAATGATAGGGCGCGAGGAGATGACACATCGCTCAAGAAACCAGTTCCGTCGCCGGGGAGAAGGCTGAAAATGGATTTTTGGGGCTAAAATTGTCCTCTCTTTCATATTCTGGGATCAGTTCATGGCTGCTGACCTCCTAGATACCTGAAAATGGAGTGCGAAAGGGGTAAAAACGTGAATAATAATACTATAAAAACGAATGCGAACCTCGCAAGTTGCGCCTGAAAGTTGACAATATTGTCAACTTTCAGGCGCAACTTACGAGGTCCGCATTCGTTTTTATAGTATGTCTTATTATTCACGTTTTTTCCCTTTTTCACTCCATTTTCAGATATTTAGGAGGTCAGCAGCCATGAACTGATCCCAGAATATGAAAGAGAGGACAATTTTAGCCCCAAAAATCCATTTTCAGCCTTCTCCCCGGCGCGCGACGGAACTGGTTTCTTGAGCGATGTGTCATCTCATTTTTGGGCTAAAATCCCCCGGTAGGGCCCATAGGAGTGATTTTTGGGCTTTGTGATCATGGAGATATTTGATCAGTAGGTCGAAACCTATATTTTCCCAAAGTTACAGAGAAATTCACCGGAGGCCAAAATCCATAAGATTAGTGCGGGGTCCTAGCGAAATAAAAAATTAAAATAGGGGTAGCTGAACCTAAGATCTTAAAAATGGGTGCACATAATTGCATAATTTTTTTCCCCTTAATCAACTATATACAAACAAGCACTTCCTTATTTTCACAAAATTTTAATTTTTCTTGAAGTTACATTATGAAGTTTGAAAGATGGAATGTTAATATCAAATTAAAAGTTAAATGAATTAATTTTGCAAAATATAAAAATATAACAGAATTCTGAATTAATTATGAGGGTTTTTTTGTAAATTCAAAGTTTATTGTGAAAAATTTTGTACCGGGTGGTCAACTAAAAACGGCCGCGAAAAAATTCATTTTGAAGTCTCCCCACCACTTTATTGTTTTAGATAGAAAAAGTGTTACACAAAAAAGAGTCAACATTGTTTAAGGATTACACTGCATATATTTTCAATACCCCTCAATTCAGTAAAATATGGAGAAAATACCAATTTTCTATTTAGTCGTGGCTGTTACGCCACTTAGCAGCCATTTTAGAAACTAGCAAACATTTTTCAGGGCCACTTTCCCCAATATATATTTTTTCTAAAGCTGTGCGATGATTCATTTCTGAGATATGGCCGGCGGCCATTCTTAGTTGGCCACCCAGTACCTACATTATTATTTTTCAAAGTATTGTCCATCACTAACCACTATTTTTTCCCATCTTTCTGGCAGCATACGAAGTCCTCATCGAAAGAACAACTCATATTTAGATGCTATCCTCCAATCGATCAATTTTTCCTATCAAGTAGTAATCCAATGGAGCAATATCTGGTGAATATGGCTAGTGGGGTAAATAAACCATCCCATTTCAGCACTTCTAAGTATTTTTTTGACTTTATGAATAACATGTGATCGTTGTTATGTTGAAAAATTACTTTATTAACAATTGCGTTCGGTAGCGTTCACCAGTGATCGTTTTATTCGGTTGAAGCAGATCATAGTACACAATACCAAGCTGGCCCCACAAAATATAGAGCATGAGCTTCGATCCGTGAATATTCGGTCTTGCCGTCAATGTAGAAGCATGACAAGGCAAACCCCACGATTTTCTACACTTACGACCCATTTTTCGTCGCCAGTGATGATACAATACAAAAAACCCTTTCTTTTTTGCCGTCAAAGCAATTATTCCCATGTGAAAAATTGCCGTTCAACATCTCTCGGCTTTGATTCGTATGGCACCCAATTTTCTTGCTTTTGAATGATACTGAGTGCATTTAATCATTTGGAAAATCTGCTGTGAGATCAACATTCAATGATTCAGCAAGTTCATCTTGCAACTTGACATGAATCTTAGTCGAGTAATGCTTTCAATTCCTCATCTTCGAACTTTTTTGGTTGACCAGGGCGATCTTTGTCAACTGTTTCGAAATCACCACTTTTAAAATGTCGAAACCAATATTCATACATTTTTATCGATGGAGTATGTTCACCGTAAGTTTCCAACCCTCCGTGATTTTCAGCAGCACGTTTCTTTGAATTAAATAGGAAAAGTAAAACTTCCCACAAACGTGTTTGGTTGGCTTGTAATTCGACATCTTCGGAGCTGAGAAAAAAATATATTGTTTACGCTTCAGCAAAATGACACAGAATAAAAAGTAAAGCCTAATGACAGAGCTTTGACACGAATATAGTTATAGAAGTGTCCGATGTGATGTAGTATAAGTTACGCCATCCATCCCTCAAAACTAATTCACAGTCCTGGCACATTATGTGATTATATACATTTCGAGATTGATGTTATGAAATTTTACAAATATATCCTTGCGTAAACCTGAATTTCTCGCAAACATTTCAATGTATTGAAATTAAGTAAGAGTTCTTGTTTTCCTAATAGTCCAGAGATCAGTTTTAATCAAAATTGTTCTAAAATACAATAAAAATATTGGGGATGAAATCTTGTTAGGCACCCTATAAAACTACCGTTACATAAATATTGGGAGACAATCTAGGACCACCTTGTATTCAAAACAAAAAATAGAAAACCTAATTAAATAATTTTTATTAGGTTTAAAATCTCACCCTCAGCATAACATTTTCAAAATACAAGCAAGTGGGCACAGCGGAATAATTTCATTTTATTTAAAAGGTGGTTCTGAAGAAAGTGAACAATTTTTGAAAGCGCTAAAAGTCTTCACAGTTACTGAAGTATCTGGAGGTGGAGAAAGTACTGCTCAAATACCGTAATTTATTATATATTATTAACCAATTATTTATATTAATCACATTTTGCTTGTAGATTCTTAATGTCGCACAAACATTGGAAAAAAGGCAGAAAGAAGCAATTGAACATAACAGAAAATTTGGTAAAACTTTCTGTTGGTTTGGAAACTATCTGCGATTTGATATTAGATATTGAATCAGCCCTTGATAGCCTAAAACCAAATTCAAAATGTCGGTAAAATTGGTTCTGTCAGCAGTTATACTAATTATTAATAAAGTGAAATTTGTGTCGATCATTCTGGTATTATCTATCAGGGCCCTACTACTAAAAAAATTACACACAAAGTAACCATCTGTAAATAGAGAATCATATACATGGTGTTACAAAATTCGCGGACACGGACTGTGGGATCATGTTAAGTTAGATAAGGTCATAAAAAATGTCTATCATTTTTCAATCAGACCGATATTTTTCAAGATACGGCAGTTTTAAAATATCCAAAAATAATAATAATTTTCATTTGATAAAATATTATGACAAACTAATTGTTCAACATTTCCAACCTCTGCTGCTAAAGATGCTTCAGCACGTTGTGATTACCTAAATAATACTTTCCCTGGATGTTGGCTTGGCGGAAGCAGTCCATTTGCTTAGCCACCTTGTTCTCTAGACCTAACGCCATGCGATTTTTTCTTTTGGGGCTTCCTAAAAACGTTGGTCTACAAAATACCAGTGGCAAATTTGAATGAATTGCAGAACTGCCTATTTCAATCAATATAGAAAATAACACCAGAGATGTTCTGCATTCGAGCAGTAGCACAATTTTGAACAATTGTTGTAACTCGTTTGTCGTAATTGTCTATCTAAGGATTGAAAATTGAAATTTATAAATATAAATATTTTAATTACTTTTGGATATTTGATACTGCTATATCTCGGAAAATACTGCTCTGATTGAAAAATCATAGACACTTTTTTTATCACCTTATCTAGCTTAATATGATCTCGCAGTCCGTGTCCATGAATTTCGTAACACCATGTAAGTGAATATATGTATATATCTACTTTAAAAGTCAGTGTTACATTTAATAACTGAAGTTCATGATGTATAGATCTATTGGTTGATATGAAGAAGTCATTTTTGCTTTTTTAGTGTTCTAATGAGCAACTCGTGTCTAATTAGATTTTTTTTGGTATCTTTATTCGTTTGCGATATCTCAATTACATCTTTGCCTTGGACATGGTAAGACAAAGAATTGTAAATATTTTATGGGCTATATAGGCTTTTTTATTGTTATAAAGCAAATAAAATGCAAAACTATTTTGAAGTGTTTTATATATATATTTTGGAAAAATTCTTTTAAAAAAAATATAAAACAAAATCTTACAAAATAAATTTTAATTTTTTGTAAGTCAGCTACTCTCTTTGCAAATATTTAAAATACCTTGAATAATATTGTCACAAACCATTTTGTGCAGTGTTCCACATTTAGCAAGATGCATACGTACGCTTGAAATGTACTGAAAATAAAAAACATGTTATTAATCTAAAAATAGTGATTTTACTCATAAAAATAATGGTGCTATAATTTTTTAGGCCCAGTACTTTAAGTCTCGGTTAAGACTAGATTAACTAATTAGGCGATTAATATTAAATATATTTTTAAAAAGTCACTTATGCCCGTTTGCACCGTTTAGAATTTAAGCTAAGTTCAACTGAACTTGGTTTCATTTTAAAACTAGGTTTTAATAATCAGCTTTTGCACCACATACTGCTGATTGTAGATTAAATTAAACTGGGCTTTGAGAAGACTATTTAGGGATTTTATTATGCTGCTAACTTATGTCCAGTTATGATCGGAAAAAAATATGTCAAAGTCAAATTCTCAAACCTAACGTAATAACATAATTTACTTTATTGTGGATAAAAGATTTAGTTTAGTAAATTTAGTAAATTGATACTCGTACAATTATTCTGGACACTGTTGATATGTCCATCCCTGAAAAGTCTGCAATGGCAGACAAATAACCAGCACAAGCATAGAACCAAAGAGCAGTCAGCGATTGTTGGATAGGAGATACACTATTATTCCTAGAAATACAAAATCATATTAAGAATAAAAACTTTTTATAACTCCAAAATTCTGATTGCCAGTTGCGTGTTCCTGCCGACGTGTTCGTAAAACTTACATGTCACTTGGATATTCCAACTCCTCTTCAATTAAAGTTAGCAGATATAAGATGTTAGCTCTTTTATCAACCTAAATCTGCGGAAAAAAGTCATATTGTCTAGATCAGCGGTCGGCAACTGGCGGACCGCGGTCCAGATCCGGACCGCGGAAGGTAAAAAATTATTAAAATTATTTAAAAATAATATTTTTCTATAGATAACAACACTTTTGAGTGAAACCCTTCTCATTTTTTAATGGTTAGTAGGTTAGTAAAAAAAAACTGACTCAATACCGCAAATGTAATTTCTCCCATTGTTTTTGAATACAAATATGCCGATCTATTGTATTTCATATTATTTTGTGAGTGCAAATTAAAATAAAAAATTAGTAAGTAATATGAGTTTTTTTTCTGGACCTCGTGAAAAATTTTCAAAAGTATCCGGACCACCAAAAATTACTTGCCGACCCCTGGTCTAGATTATGTCTTAACACCACTCACTCATTCACAGTTCACAGGAAAAAGGAAGAAATACCTATTTAAAAAAATTATAACTAGCAGCTAAGTACTGTCAATAGTGTCAATTTATGTTTTCTCATTAATCCAAGTTTAAGTGGTCAAATTTGAGGGTTTAAATTAATACATAGATTTGAAACGGTGCAAACAAAATGTTATATTTTAATCCAAGTTCAGACTTAATCCTGGATTAAACACTACGGTGCAAACTGGCATTAATCCACCCATATTAATAACCCATATTTAAAGTATGATGATTTTTATGGTTGTTATGCACTTTATAGCCTTAGTTAGGAATCTTTGATCTGCCCTTATTGTTCTTGGGCTAGGCTCTGCGGGAGGGGATGATCTATCAGGACCCCTACACCTGCCCTCATGATAATTTCGGTAATTATTGTTGGTTCTAAGGCCGCTACGTACGGAACTATTGCTCAGGTTGTCCTCTGAGATGTTCTACAGTGGCCTTTGTAACTGGTCATATCTAATACTTCCTAACATTTATCCATTCTTCGCAGTGCTTCAGTTGTGACTCTGGCAAATGCTCCTCTGAAGAGCAGTTCCGTCTCTAACGGCCTTAGGATCAACAATAAGAACCGAAATGAACTTCAGGCCTAGGGGTTCTAATAGGGGATCTTCCACCACAGAGCCTAATCCAAGAACTATAAAGGCAGGTCAAAGATTTCTGGCTAATGCCATGGAAGTGCAAGGTAAGTCTGTAACTGGCGGTAACCAGATATATAGAAAGCCTTAAAATTACTATTAATAACCTTTTTGCACGATCAATCTTTTTTAGTTCCCTTACCATGTTTGTTTCTACGACAGTAGGATGCGCTTACTGGTTGCTAAGGCTAACAAAACGGTAAGTAATTCACTTACCGTTCTAGAACGGTAAGTGAATAACTGTCAAAATAGACATTTTCAACATCGCATTGATTTGGAATGAGTTTTCTAGAATTCAGTTTTAAATGTGGGTAATTGTTATAAAAGAAAGATGTATTTTAAATCTATTTATTAATGTTGAAATTAAATGTACAGTTTGTACAATTGCTTACAGAAATTGCATGTTTTTCGATTTAGAATAATTGTCAGTTTCGTCAATTAAGAAAGCCGTGAGAACAATAAACATCAGTAGATTTCAAAAAACCTGCTTCACAAATTTATTCAGAAATGTCATTTTTGACGTTACATAAAAAATTAAATACGTATATATAATTTCGTTTTCATTTATTGCGATTGTGCAAAAAATAGTATAAGCATCACGAACGTTAAGAGTTATACCGTTCTCAGACAAAACATTTTATATACAGTAAACCTAATTTTGTTGGGTTCCGTAAAATGCTTGCTCTACTTGACGTGTTGATGCGCGACTGTGAATTCAGCAGGTACGCCGAGCACTAAGTCACACACCAATCACAACCATAAAAAAGTTATAAAATATTAGGAACAGTAATGTTAAAGAGAACTATGTAAACAAAAAAAATATATACACTGCTCAAAATAATTAGAGGAACACTTATTTAAATCTCAATAACTTTTTTATTTGTAATACTATATAAATCTAATAATGCAAATCTTAAATACAAACATTTTGTTCGAATTTACGAAAATAAAACAAATTTACATAATCGTTCTTGAGACAATAGTACAAATTCAAAAAAACTACAAGAAATAAAGTGAAACACAATCAAAATTTCAATTTAGAAATATGCTGTGCCTTGGAATAATAAACAATGTTGACAGTTCAGCATAAATGGTAAAAAATGGGGCATCTAAGTGAAGTTGAAGTCGTTCGTGTTGTTGCTAGTATAGAGTATGGCACTAGTATTTGACAGGTTGCAAGAGATTTTAACGTAAGCCCTTCTGTTATCCATCGCGTGTGAAATCTATACTTAGAAACCGGAGGATATAAAAGATGCATTGGACAAGGTCCTAAGAGGAAAACAAACCGAATTCAGGACAGGTTTTTAGCCCTATCCTCCTTGCGTTCTCATACATCCACAGCAAAAGACCTTCAAAGTAGGCTCAGAACGACTCATGGGTTGGAAATTTCCAATCAGACAGTTAGGAATAGACTGAGAGAAGCAAACTTGAGACCAAGAAGACCCGTGCGAAGACCTATTTTAACTCTGTATCTCATATTGTTTCGTTTACATTTTGCACGTGAGCATGTGGCATGGCAACTTCGATATTGGAGACCAGTACTCTTCACAGATGAGTCACGATTTCGTTTAAGTTGTTGTGATGGTCGAGTACGTGTATACCGACGTCCACATGAATGCCATTCTTCAGCTACCATACAAGAAGTCGAAAGATTCGGTGGTGGGGGTTTGGGGCAGAATTAGTCTTGATGAAAGAACCGATCTTGTCATAGTTCCAGGGACTCTAACCGCTTAACGATACATTGATCTCATTCTAGAAGAACATGTTATACCAGCTGCTTATGGTATAGGTCCAAATTTTCTGTTTATGCAAGATAACGCAAGGCCACATATTGCGATTATCACCATGAACTACCTTCAACATCACGGGATTCAATCCATGGATTGGCCTCCGCTAAGTCCTGATCTAAACCCCATCGAACATCTTTGGGATTTGTTCGATAGACGTATTCGGAGGCGCCCAGACCCACCTCAGACTCTTCAACAGTTAACAAATGCCCTAATCGAAGAATGGGAGAATATACCACAAGAAGACATTCGTAGGCTCATCCGAAGCTTACCACGGAGGTGTCAAGCAGTAATTTGTGCTAATGGAAGACATACATGATATTAGTGAACCAAATCTCACCAGGACCTTTATGTTATACAGACAGGATCACAGACTCTTCACTTTATTTCTTGTAGTTTTTTTGAATTGGCGCTGTTGTCTCAAGTGATTATGTAAATTTGTTTTATTTTCGTAAATTTATTCGAACAAAATGTTAGTCTTTAAGATATGCATTATTAGATTTATATAGTATTACAAATAAAAAAGTTATTGAGATTTAAATAAGTTTCCTCTAATTATTTTGAGCAGTGTAATATAAATAACCATAACCTAATAAAAATTCTTACCTTCTCAAGATAACTAATGCTTGGATTCTGAAAATAGGGCTTATTAAATTTTACGTTCTTGGCGTCCTTAAAATCCATCTCAAACACCTCTCTAATATCCCCCAGGAACTCTTTAAGTATGAAATCTTCACTCAAAAGCTCAACCTTAAATTTATAAGGCACCATTTGATCTTCGAAATTTAGTTTTTTATCAACAAACATGCATCTAAATGGAGAAGCGATAAGGGCACCACTTAAATTGAAGGGAGACAAGATGAATCCTATGCAGGGCTTATTATGTCCGATCCACTGTTGAAGAGTTAGTTGGGTCTCAATATCTTGGTGTGATGGTTCCGGAGCAAAAGTAGGGTGTGAATGAAACCACCCTAGGATATCGAGACCCTTGCCATGAATGAGGTCTGCGGCTTTGGCTTGAGATATTGGACACATGTCACAGTGGGTCGCAGATGATGCAATATTAAAGCAGGGTTCATAGTGAGTAATTATAAGAACATTTTCACTTGAAATCCAATATCCTCCTACAAGTCCCATTACCTCTGTTAAAGAGGTATGTGCATGAAAGTCCATTTTTAGCATTGTAGAGAGATGTATTTTAATCTTGTAAGGTTGCTAAAAATTGATATAGGCTGTACAAAAATTCAGTAGTTATAAAGGGGACAAATTATTTAAAGCATCATGATTTTTCGGGTTTTTATGCCGTGGTCTATGTAGCGGGTGGCTTACAGATATACCGAATTGGAACCAATATCACGCCTAGGCTTACTAATAGTGAGTCTGGTTCCACAGAGTTTAGCCCGAGAACAACAAGGGGGGTCAAAGATTTGTAGCTAAAACTAAGGAAGCACATTGTAAGTTTGTAACTGGCAGGGACCAAGAAATAATTCCATAGCAATCCGAAAAACCATGGTACTTTAATAGGTTGAGTGCTGCGACGACCTTAAACTTTCGGTACTTTTCCGGTTTTTTTATGATTACTCACAAAGTTGGACATGGATCTCAAATTTGTTTTTATGAGCATAAAGGCCACAAAAAATGGAACAAAAAATATATAAAGATTTTTGACGTGCGTCGTATATTAAGCGAGATACATAGGAGTGGCCCTCTTATAGTAGACAGCCTGTATAACAATAATTATTTTTTGACAATCTTGTTCCTAATGTTTGAGATAAAAAGTGACCCTCCCTGTACACTACAAATGTTTAAGGTAATTCATATATTATAAAAATTTGAAATGTTTGTACTCACTGGTTTATCCTCAGTAAAAGATCGGCAATACACTAACTGCACGACTGGCTTCTTTATGTACAATCTTTGCTTTGGTTCTTCATTTACTACTGTTGTATTTATTACATGACCCAATTCATCATGGGTTAACGTACAGCCTCCTTCACCATCCTTTAAAAAAAAAATCTTACATAATACTACATGGTTTTTGCCTAATGGCTTAAAATATTTTCCTTTCTGAAATATCAATATTAGATTTTGAAATCACAACTTACATTATTAAATTTTCTTTTGTTTCTGGGTCTACTTCCTAAAGTGTTGAAGGGCCTGGATTGAATTTTTACATCCTTGACAAACTTGTCTTTCACTACAGGATTTGGTTGAATTATACTGTATAATGGTCGAATATAGCTTATTTGTGCTACAAAATTATATTTTAAGATGGTAGAAGAAAGTTAACCACGACAACATACCACATCCGAAATTTATGGCTCCAATCTGTTCTAAAAAGTAATGAATTCGTCCAATACAATTCACATCACCGCAGTTTTTTAGTCCTTGACGTATTAATGTCTTTGTCACATAAATTGGTTTCTGAGAGATCCAGACATATATTATATGATTTCTTATCTGAAATTATGTTTAACAAAACTCAATTAATAGTTAGCCTGGCATCATACGTATAAAATTTAATAAAACTGATAATTAATTCATGACATTTTTTTTTAATTAAGGATTTCTTTATGAAATTTTATAGTAATCTGCAAAATAATGTACCTTCTTATATCTTCGTGGAGTTTTTGCTGGTCGACCTTCAAAGAAGTCGGAATGAATTACTTTCTCCAACTCCGTTATGCTGTTTTCATCCATATTAATTTCACATTTAGGTGTTTCCATACTCATTAATTCTATGACTGTCGATTCATTTAGGGAACATAAATCCACATATTGCTTTGTGACAAAATCACTTTTTTCCATTTTATTTTTAATATCTCCTTGGTCATCTATTAGATTTTCACTTCCGAGTGCTGTGTTATGAGTGTCTGGCTTAATTTTAAATTCTTCATCAGAGTCTTCTATGTCAACTTCTATATCTAAATCAGAGTCATCTTCGATTTTTTTTATCTTAACCTAAAAAAAGGGTAATGATATAAAATATTTTCTGAGTAAACTCAAATTCAATATTTATTATGAATATAGCAGAGATACTTCATATTATTTAAAAATTAAATTCCTGCTTACAATTTCTTCTCCTTCACAAATAGGGACTGCAAGACCTTTTCCCGTGGTAATTTCAACTCTCCTAAATTCTGATGTTTGTTTTTGTATATTTACAATTTTTTGGTTACCTTTACTTTTCATTTCTGGGGCCATTCTTAATTTTGTCTTAATTTTAAATTCCATTGATTGTATCTTATTTTTACTATGGCTATTATACAAATGTTTTTTCTTATAGTTTGACTTTAAAAGTGAGTGTCCTCTTGGTACATCTTTTAAATTTATGTCACATAAATCACTGTTAGAGGAGCTCCTTTTCCGAGCTCTCTTATGCATTTGCACTGTTGGTTTTGCTGTACTTACAGCTTCTATTACTTCTTCTATACTTGCGGGTATCTACAATTGAATTAATGATACATATATACAAGCCAATACAAATTATATGGGGAACCCACCTGTGTATCATTTAATACATCTGAAACTAAATTAGTAGTACTTAGTTCTTCAAATATTCCATCATTAAGATTCTTATGTGTATTTTGCCCATCTAAGTAAAAATTTTTTAAATAATACTTTACTTCAGCTGAAGTTTTAGAACCAATAAATTGCGACAGCCTTACATTGCTTTTGCCAAATATTTCAATGCCTCTGTCCAACAAGTTTTTTTCTTTTTCTGTCCAACCACTTTCGTCAGTAATTGAGTTTTCTGTTGACACGTGACCAAGAGAATCACTTTCTGTTTGGATTTTATCTAAAGATGACGCCGAAGAGCTGGTATCGTACCAGTTATCTGGATTTGCACTTGGTTTGTCTAGAAGCCACTGGGGATGAATAGTGTAGTCACAGTTCAATAACTCTGTATTTTGAGATACCAAAGATGTGGAACTGTAACTGAAAAAATTATAAATATTCAATACAATCTTCAATCGCATGTTTAGTACTTACAGATTCGAATCACTTTTCACAAGATAATTATCCAAATTAAATTCACCAAGAACATCTATTTCGTCTTCCTCTGCCATTCTAGTTTAAAAATAAAATTAAGATTAAGTTTGACAACCATTACAAATATTGACATTGACAAGCCTGTTGACAAGGAACAAGACGAAAATGACAAGTGACATTTAAACTTCAAACGCCATCTTTAATGGTCGCGTTCAGTAGGCCACTCAAGGCCACGGTCCGTAAAGAGGTCCTTTTTACGGACCGCGCCATTATTCCATGGCTAGAAATTGGCCTCAATGATTTGGGATCGAGGGGGATTATCCCTCTTTATCCTGCCTCATCTCGTGTAGGCCTGGACAGCCTTCGTAGGTGGGCCCCATCCGTCGTCTACCCCGACCGCAAATGCGGCCGGTGTCGGGGGCTTTGTTTTTACCATAGAAAAATTAATATATTCATATTCAATTTTCTATGGTTTTTACGGACCGTGACTCAAGGCCACTACACCTCTAATTTTGGTTACTCACTCCAGAAGAAAGGGCCCTAGCCGGCCCACCTACGAAGGCTGTCCAGGCCTACACGAGATGAGGCAGGATAAAGAGGGATAATCCCCCTCGATCCCAAATCATTGAGGCCAATTTCTAGCCATGGAATAATGGCGCGGCGCGGTTACTCTCTTAATTTTATTTAAATATCAGGAGGGAGTTGCTCTAAATGTATAAAAAATAAAACCATATTCAAAGACTCAAAACCACTCATATATTTTTTTATGCAAACGGACATTAAACAGACAATTTTCTATGGGTGAAGAAACAGTGGACACTGGGTTTATATGGTTTATATCATGCCAAATCATTAATTTTTATGTACTGAAAATAACTTAAGACATAGAAGTGTTTTTCTGATACCTACTTAAAATTTACTCTGTCTATTCGTTATTCAATTAATAGAATAATTTTTACTTAAATTTGTTTCTTTTGAAAATAAAAAATAATCCAGTTCGTATATTTCATGTTATGTAGTGCCGTGTACACAGATCCTAAAAAATGGGATGATCTGAAATTAGTTTTTAGTCAAAATAGTTATTTTTTTTTAACATTTTCTAAAATAAACGTATTTACATATTCCCGCTAAAATTTAATAATTTCGAAATAAAAACAAGTGACATGACATATCCGTCATGCGCGTTGAAATGAAAGCGGCTTCCGGTAAACATTTTGTTCATGTGTTGTTCTGGAAATCATGTATTTTATTAATTTCTTGTAAGTAGAGGTAGAAAATATCAGTTTCTTCGTAATAACATGAATATGTAAGTTATTTCTCTTTATATATTCAATTTTATTTAGATACGATATGTTCTATTATATGGAGTTTCGTAGGACTCTCTTTGCCGGCAGTTTGCAAACATGAAAATGAAAGGCGTCTAAAGATTACATGTAGTTATTTCCTTCAGTAAGGTGAAATTTTGTATTTAAGTACTGAATCGGAAAAAAATCGTAACTTGAATAAAGGTGGATTGTCTATCAATGTTTTAATCGTGTTTGCAAGCAGTGCGTATCTGTTCACTTATAATAATCGTTTTAATTGAAGTTTAGTCGCCGTAATGGCGGCTAGGGTTTCATAATTGTTATGTTTTTTTGTGCACCTGTAAAATGTTTTACTATTAAAGAATATCTTTAAATTTACTAAAATTGCTAGTTTTTTTTACAGATTCAATATGAATAAGAGTTTCTAGTTATTAATTTCTTAAGAAGCAAAAAATAGTTTGTATTAAAATGGGTGTTCACGATTTACAAAAATTTTTGGAAAGTCATAGTCTCGAAGGCGGAGCAGTATCTGTAGATCTCTTAAAGATAGCTAGAAATGTTACTCAAAGGCAGCAACCACACAATGCTAATCGTAAAATAAGACCTATTGGAAATAAGTTGAAACTAATTGTTGATGCTGAGAACTGTTTAGATCGATTATATGGAGGATATTTCTCAGGTGAGTTTGTACACAAGATTATATTAGGGACATTTGGTATTATTTGCTCGTTTCCTTTCAGATTGGGCTTGTGGTGGGCAATGGAATCGTATGGTACAATTTTTGTCACTTCTCACCCGTGCCATAGAACGTGGTAATATAGAATTGGCAGTGGTTTTTAATGGTACGATCGAACAGTGTCGCATGAACGAATGGATTGCGGAACAAGCAAATATTCGCCAAAGAGTCGGAATGGTATTAAAACATATAAACACTAAAGCTACGCCACCGCCCAAGATATGGTGGACTCCACCCACTTGCCTTAGATCTGCTCTCCGAATGGCATTACGTCATCTAGGAGTAACTGTGGTATGTTTGCATTAATATCGTACAAACATTTTTTCCATTCTTAAAAGTTGCAGCTATAGTTTGTTCAGAGTTTAAACTGAAAATTATGTCTGTTTATATTTTTTTAATTTTAAAAGTAATATAAACCACTTTTATGTAGGAAAATAATTTTTATTAATCGACATTCTTGTCTTATGTTGTGAATAAATCAAACCTAGGTACTTTTATAAAAACTATGTATGAATTGCAGGCAACTTGGCAGTGGCAAAGTGTACACGTAGACAAGGACAAGGTAGACATTGTCTACCCAAAACATTATACACTAAAACCACTGTATCTTTTCCATTGCGTCAAGCAATATTCGTTTGAACTAAGACGAAAAATCCTAGTCAAATTAGTCACTGTTTTCATATAAATGAAATGTCATCTTGACAATTCCCAAATCTGGATATCTCGCTAATTTTAATACTGGTATTCCTGGATACGAAAATATGCCAAAAAATCGATATTTCAACGCTCAGAAAATATATACAAATCTGAGTGTCAGTTCTGTTGTTTTAAAGACAAACTACAGTCTAAAATTAATACCCAACAAATGTCCTTCATTTTCTTTCACTGTAATACACTACATACATACTAAGGGTTGTCTGTGATAGATTGAGACTATGAAGACATTTATACCATCATTGTATCTCTTTTTAGCATGTTTAATAATGAATTCATGTCGGCAACGACAGTCTTTGATATTAGGACACACTCGTGACGTAATGACAATCTTAAAACGATTCTAATGTATGTACAAACTATATTTTCCAAATGTATCTATTAGCGGCCAAAAAAAGGCATCGGGTCGAATTAATTACCTCGCTGGCTGATTAAAGACCCGGCTGAGTGACGCGACACTAAATAATAGCTGGGTCAACATTTCTGAATTTGTCTTCTGGTCATTTGTCTATCATACTCGGCGAGCGAAGTATGTATTGTCCTGCTTTCTGCATTATGGAGCATGGCGATGCATATGATCAACTGGAATAGCTGCAATACTCCTCGTTTTATTTGATATATTTTGTTTAATTTTTTATACATTTTCTATTAGATATGTAGAATCATAACATTTTTATTTATTATTATGTTTTAAGTACTTAACACTTAATGTGAGTTGAATATGATATAGATACTTTTACAAAAAATAACTTAATTCGTTAGACAATTTGAATTTTTTTCTCAGTCTACCCATGAAAAAATTTCACGTTTCTCCACTGCAACTTTGTGATGCTTACATACAGATATATTCTTAATAATTTCATAAAGTTAAAAAACTTACTGTGGTAATTCTTCTAAATGTTCATGATGTATTGTTAAAAATTCATGTTTTGTATATTTAAGAAGGTAAATCTTATCAACATACCTCATAAACTCGGATCAATCGCTCTTATTTAATATCGAGATTTATTTAGAAAAAAAATTGTAGATGTGCACTATGGATGATCATCATCAGGAGGTCATTGCATATTGCCGTGAATATGGATTTCATGGGCTTTTGGCAGATGATGCTGAATATGCCGCTTTTGATCCACCTCGTTATTTTTCATCGGAGAATCTTAAGTTAACATATAAGGTATGTTTTATATTTGAAATGTTTGAAATTTATTATTTTTTTGTAATCTATTTTCTAGGGATCTATTGAAACCAAAGAATATATGATAAGTGAATTGACAAAGACATTAAAGGTGACTCAAGAACAAGTCTGCATCATGGCTGCTCTTCTTGGCAACTTCCTTTTGCCTGAAAGTGATTTACAAGACTTATACAAGAAGCTTGGTTTAACTAAAGTTCCTGCAGAAAATGTAAGTATATGAACAAACTAAAATGTTGAGTATGATACATTTTGAATGATGATATTCATCTTTCGGGTCTGATATATAAATCTGAAGACTCTATCCCAGCGTTCTGATTTATTTAATGTTGTAGTGTTTATTTTTCATGATAAATCTGTTTTCCCAATTTTTTTTTTGTTTCAGAGTGCTGAGAACAACGTAAAGAAATTAGCCGACTATGTACGTAACCTTCCTTCCCCATCTAACATGGATGGTCTAGTGATAGCTGTCTTCGGTTTGTTAGAAGACAGACGTGCGTCTAAATTTAGACAGTCAGTACAGTATTATTTAAATGGTACGGCCAGTGGATTCCTCAAATATTGTACACCTCCAAGTAAGTTTTTCAACTAAAGTCCAACTGTACGTCCTACCCTTTTACCCATTTTATAAATGATTATGAGCTACGTGACCAGTAATTTTGTGTGGAACAGTAATTTTATTTCCTTAACACAACATTCTGTTTCACCGGCTGTGATTGGTGTAATTTTTCACGAGATTCTATTCGATCAATCAGCGATCATAGGCATAACAGTTTGTTACTGTTCATCGTAAACGAATCATTAATATTGATGTCAAGATTTAGGGATTTTTCTTTATCAGTACCAGTGTGATGTTGGGTTGTTAAGCTCGGCAGCCACGTGGCTTGTAAACATTTATGAAGGCTCTGTATGAAGTTGTTAAAAGTTAATGTTGTAAGTTGCATTGAACTTCTGAGTATGTGTATTGTCTTTTTTAAGCTAATTCTAAGCCTAAGAAAAGCTCCAGCAGTACAACAAACGAAAATTCAACTGCAGCGAAAGTGGAAGATTTAGATTTGGATACTTCTGGATTTGCTTCAGAAACTACTGAACAAGAGGTGAGATTTTACACATTTTTAAAAATGTTTATGTATTTATTTATAGTACAGCAGTAAACTGGGACAAAAATGTGCTCAGTTTTGTACCAGTGTGTTCAATTTAGACAGCCACTTTTACAGCTGTAAAGCAAAGAATTGTCTTAAATAAAAGTTGTTCCAAATAATTTTTTTCACTTTTTAGTTATTTTCACTTATAGATTGTCCCATTTATGCTCGGCCGTAACTTAATTTTTTTAAATTGAACATTGTATAGTATTGCATATTTGAATTTGCCATTGAATTTATACTTTGACTTTTACAAACAAATATTGGGTTCAAGTACCTACACACCATTATTATAAAAATATTGACGTTTAGAGCTTCCTCAAAAATATCAAATATCTCCTGGGTCTAAAAAATATTTTTTAGATTCCTTTGCTGTAAAAAAATTGTAAATTAGACATTGCTCAAATAACATTCTGAAACATTAGAAAAATTTCCTAAGATATGAAAATAATTTTTTGAAGTGTTTTAAGGAAGTTTATCTGATTTGGAATTGACAAACAAATATTCATAAAAAAATTAAAAATTAATATAAGCTTTAATGTGAAGAAAATCCTCAAAAAAAAAAAAAAATTGTGACTAGTTTGGATACCTAAGAGACGAGATATTAATAAAATAATTTTTCATGATTTAGTACGGAGTCTTATGAGAATGCAGATTTTTTTGGTCTTTCCACTTAGAATTCACAACAATTGACGAACAGTTTCCACAGCAACTTGTATAAATAGGAAACCGATATCTAAGGAACCGTATGACAGCTCGTAGAAATCGATTAGGTACTTGTAAGATACATAATTTATAATAATTCTCCTTCAAACTTAACCTCCATATGTGTGGTAACGGCAACGCTGCTGTTTGGACATAGCGTATTATTTGAAGTTCGCAGGTATCCAAGCAAACAGGATGATCGAACGCGAGCGAGCGAACGACAAGGCAAACCAGCCAGCCAAGTGCAACATTGCCAAATTTAAAGGCTTACTACTTTAGTCACTAGCGAATCTACAGAAACTCTCATTAGACTTTAGACGTACCCCTGTACCCGATAAACCTCCTTAACGGAAGATATATATTCTCATGTTCATTTTCATGTTGATGAAAACCACATTTTAGTATCGTGTTCAGTTTCGGAGATATTTGGTATTTCATAGCATGTTCCAAATGTCAATTTTTTTACAAGAGTCGTGAAGTATTATCGGAACGGTGTGTACTTGGATCGAATATTTGTTTATTAAAGTAGGCCTTAAATTCAACGGCAGTTCAGAAATGTAATAATATACATTGTGTTCCATTTGAAAAAATATAGTTAGGTAAGATCGAGCATAACGCAACTTTTGTTTGAGACAGTTTTCTGTAATACTCATATTATCAGTTATGGAAGAATCCGTCTTAAGTGAATACCCTGTATATTATAACGGTACTGCAAAAATGGGTATATTTGTGTTTCAGAACCCTTTGGGTAGTAATCTTTAAATTTTTTTCCTTTGAAAAATTTATCATACTTTGATTTTTGCACTACAGAGTATCCCGAAATTAATGCAACAAAATTTGGTCACATATTCTTAAGACAACTTTAGGGGACCCGTATTTTTTGTTTTTGCCAAGTGGCTCCCTCTTTCGGAGTTACAGCCCCCTGAAATCCGCTCCTAAGGATAGTCTTTTTTTATATTTCAGAACCCTGTTGTACGAGAATCACTAAATTTGGTACACAGGGGTTTTATGATATGACATGTGGAATCTTATAGTGCTATGCTTTTTGGCGGGGAACCTTAAGACACTTTTTCGTGGGCCCCCTTGTCCTTGAAACTTAAAAAATTTAAATAATCAATAATTGAATATTTTTACAAAATCCTCAACAGAACAGGAAAGGGTGTCCATGTTTTCCCTGGTTTTTCACTACAAAAAATTACAAGATTTCTTGTATTTCAACATTTTTATAGTGTAGATGGATTGTTTTGTTCTGTCATCGTTTTACTAAAAGTTTCTTGTTTACAAAACGCCAGCCTTAAGCAGAACACGCTGTATGTGAATGCATACCTACTTTATTGATATAAGCTGGGTACACAGACATATGTATATGTCCTAATTCTTGTGCCTACATTCTTCAATGCGCACGTCAATTGGATGCACAATGTCACATTATAGATGAACACGCAGGCAATAAGTACATTGCGTCGATGTATTTCAATATGCTAATGTAAAAAGAGTCAGTAAATAAATTTTATTAGGGATACATTTATGTCATTTAATAGCTTTATTCCAGGTCTAATTTTCAGACTACTAGAAAATTGTTCCCAAAAGATTGCATTTATTATTAAAGACCTAAAAACTTTCCTGAACAATTTTTTCCAGAGTAGAGACTGATTTGACAATTCCTAAACCGCTCTAAAAGAATCCCTAAAAGACCCCGCAGAATACTTATGGAAAGTGGCTTTCTGATAATTCTTTTGAAACTGCTTTGTGATAGTTCTGATCATGTGGATCAAAAGTCAATGAGCACAAAGTCTGAAAGTCCTTTGTTTTGGACCTACGGCACCTGAAAGTTGAACTTTCCCCCCCTTACGCTACATTACGCTGCATAGTAAGAATATAGCAATGATTCTTTTTTATATAATTACATTACATTAATTGCAAATGGATCTTGTCCGATCCATTAGAAATGTTTTCAACTTCCAATTCCGACTGAAAGTAGGATACTTTTCACAAGAATCGACACGAGGTCAACTTCAAAAGCCATTTAGAGCTCAAAAAACCATTGAATTCACAGTAAAAAAATATACTATTTTATTTGAAAAAATTAACTTCTGGTCCAAATAGACTACTTCTGCAGAACCCGAAGTTGAAAACATCTCTAATCAATCGGACAAGGTTCATTAACTATTAAGGGGGTTTATCGGGTACGGAGGTACGTCTAAGGTTTAATGAGAGTTTCTGTAGATTCGCTAGTGACTAAAGTAGTAAGCCTTTAGATTTGGCAACGTTGCACTTGGCTGGCGCTCGGCTTGGCGTTCGCTCGCGTTCAATCACTTGTTTGTTTGGACACCTGCAAATTTCAAATAATACCCTACGTTGAGACCGCAGCCTTGCCGCTATCACGCATATGGAGATTAAGTTAGTCAACAACAGCAGTTTGAAGGAGAATTATTATAAATTATGTATCTTACAAGTACCAAATCGATTTCTACGAGCTATCATACAGTTCCTTAGATATTGGTTTCCTATTTATACAAGTTGCTGTGGAAACTGTTCGTCAATTGTTGCGTATTCTAAGTGGAAAGACCAAAAAAATCTGCTTTCTCATAAGACTTCGTACTAAATCGTGAAAAATTATTTTATTAATATCTCGTCTCTTAGATATCCAAACTAGTCATAATTTTTTTTGAGGATTTTCTTCATATTAATAAGCTTATATTAATTTTTTTATGAGTATTTGTCAATTACAAATCAGATAAACCTCCTTAATGTAATGTAATTTTACAGAAAATAATAATTGCTGTATTCTTACTATGCAGCGTAAGGGGAGAAAATTCAACTTTCAGGAGCCCTAGGTCCAAAACAAAGGACTTTAACTTTGTGTTCATTGATCCACGTGATTAGAACTATCATATAGCAAAGTTTCCATGAGGATTCGAGGAGGTCCTTTACCTCGAACATGGAACATTTGAGATTTGCGAATATTTCATGACAAATTTGGAGACATGACCCGTGTGTATAATTGACGCCTAAAAAAAGGTTCTGCAATTGCAATCGGACAAATCGATGTCATAATTGATGTCTAGAGATCTGGCAGGCCTATTTGCGAACAATTACATTAGAAAACAGTTTTGAAAAGTTATAATTTAAAATGACATTTCAAGTTAAAACTGAGTGTGCATCACAAGTGATATGATCAACGGGATTTCATTTGATTCTGAAACTCCTAGTTCATGGTCAAATGAACATTGTGGACAAATATGAGAATAAGCACTCTAGACAAATCTGGCACATGTTATAACGTGTTGATGAATGTATGTGAATGTATTAAGTTTGTACCCTCCGGTGTAGCCGGGTGTATGGCTTCCCTCAAGTACCACATTACGTTTTTAAATAATTGATGTCGGTGTTACGTGGAAGCAGGTAAATAACTGTGATGCAATAGTGGTGGTACTGTTCAATTGCTACTTCTAAAGAAACACAGTTTACAGATACCTATAAAAGTAGATCATAGCTAATTTACGTTATTCTTATTTCAGCAAGAAAGTTTGCAAAATTATAGACTGGCTACTGCAAATTCCATAATAACAGATTTCGAAGGATTGGACGTTAATCTCTTGAAAAATGCAAACAGCGGTAAGTTTTATCTAAGACTACAAAGAAGAAAATTTGAATTAACGCATGGTCGTTACTTTAGATGATTCTCCTCTGTCGTCAGACTCTTCAAGATTTAATGGTATATCGAATGGTTCTGTTTCCTCCGCTAAAAGCTTGGCGGGAAGCTCTTCCGGAACAAGGGTGAATCTTCTAGTCGGTTCAAATAATTCTGCAAGCAGTATACCTCCCTCTCCCAAAAATAATCAGACTTTGAAACAAGGTAATTTTAACATATTAAACAAACAGTACACTACTTAAAAATCAAACTAGTTTGCATTAGCGTGTAAATTAAGCATTACTCACTAGTACGAAACATAAATTCTTTACGTTTTAATTTGTTATGGTGACAGTATTGATGGCCGTTATCGAAGATGTCATCTCGAAGTCGCAGTTTTTGAATTATTCCGTAATAATTTAATAAAATTACATTGCTGAAGAATGTCTGTGACTATGATCTGAATGATTTAAAATTAAATTTGATTCAAATAGTATTTATATTATTGGCTGTTTATACATGTGAGGGGATCAACAATTATCTTATTTTAGGCATCCCCATAATATTTTTCAGTAATACAAAAAAAAATATACATTTTTCAATTCATGGGACTGACACATCTGTGAAAACCTTATAACTTGGCAAATGATTTAAAAAAAAATTCTAAAATTATTTTTTTTGGTATCAGATTCAGGGAAAAGGGGAAATTTCTCGGCAAGTTTGGGAACTTGGAAATTTTCCATTTTGCAAAATTTCAATTATTAAATTTCTCACAGAATTATGATTAAAATAAATGGTCGATAAATAGTCATTTACATGTTGAGTTTTGGAAATATAAATTTATTAATGGTGCTATTCTGTAACATATTACAGCGACTGTAAGCGATGATCTTCAACATTAATAATTTTTTTAGTAAATGTAATTAATAATGCAAAAAGTATTAATGAGATTTACTTTAAATGTTACAGAAAAGCAAACGAATATATCTGAAAACGTTACTCATATATCTTGTGATATTTTTTTATCACTATAAATTTATAGCACTCTAAGAAAATTACAGAATAGGACCATTAATTGTATACAATTAATATAGCATGCATTCTTAAATTTAGTGATAACAGTTATAACTTCCATACAGGCTTTCTGTGAGTATTCAGACTTACATAGCTTCCCTCCCTCAAGTACTCGGTTTTTAAGTAATTAGTACTGGTGTTAAGTGGAAGCAGATAAATAACTGTGATGCAATAGTGGTAGTACTGTTCCATTGCTACTTCTAAAGAAACACAGTTGACAAATAATTTTAGTTTGAAAGATGAGATCATCTATATTGATCTTCGGTGGCTATTATTGGAGTACTTTTAAGAGATAATTTTTTGTGTGTAAAACTGGTTTTGACAATTTCTCATAAATTGAAACATTGAAATATACAGTGTTTTTGAGGATGTTAAAGATGTCTATATTATTACTTGCTAATAACACCCTAGACCAAGGGTCGGCAACTGGCGGACCGCGGTCCAGGCCCGGACCGCGGAAGGTAAAATACTGGACCGCCAAAAATTTTTTGAAAGTATAAATTACTCAAATAAATTATTTAAAAAATGTTTTTTTTACGTTTGAGTGCCAACCTTACCATTTTTTCTAGTATTTTACAATTGTGTGTGTTTTGAGTTCTTAATGGTTAGTAAGCAGATTAAATTTGAGTTCAAATGAAAATTTGTAAGAAATATGAATTTTTTTTCTGGACCTCGTTAAACATTTTTAAAAATATCCGGACCCCATCTAAAATTACTTGCCGACCCCTGCCCTAGACAGTATTTATTGTTGTCATATTTTGGTTGATGGTAGAGATTTTGAGAAAACATATTTTTGAAATATGAAATCAATAAATAGTCGGTTTACTGACATGATTTTTATAACACTTCTCTGAATTTGTTCCCGTTCAACATTAGCGTATTGCCGTCCAAATCTCACATAATCTCTTAAATGTGTAACCTGCCACTTTTAACTATGTGAACCTCAGGATACGCAGTTCATTTGGAATTTGATTACAATAAAAAACATTCAAATTTAGACATATGTACTGTCTTTAAATGCGGAGTAACAACTGACCCCTTTCGTTTTGTCACCATTGACCTGCACATCTCCCTCTGCATGCATTGTAAGTTGCCAACAATCTTAAAGTGCATTATAAGAAACTAATTATAACTCAACTATTTATTTGATTAAAAAAAAAGAATTTCAGATTCATATTCCGCTGACTGACCCCCATTTAACACGTTCGCTGCCGACTATGGTAACTAAGTCCGTGCCCAGTGCCAGGTATGTTTTTTATGGAAAACTAAAAATTTTGCCTTAAAAACTTCTTTAAATAAGTATGCAGATGTAACAAATGTATTTTGCCGCTTCCTGGTAATTTTTTTTTGACGGGCTGGAGCCTCCATGGCACTGGAGGTCTAATTTTGAGACTGGGTGCTATTGGACGCATTGGTGCGTCCGTTATTTCCTCATAATTAGTGACCTACGAAATATGACTTACGAAATATATTTGAAATGGAAAAAAATTTAAACAAATATTTGATAATCCACAAAATAAACAAAATGTGTAACAAAATTTAGAAAATATGAAAACAAAATGAACACCAATAAAGGTCAAAAATAAATAAACAGACTTTCTATATTAAAACATAAGTATCGGTAAACATAAATTGTGTAAAAAAATGTACATTCTTCAATAAACATTGTAGAAAAAAAACAATCTATTTGCTAATAGTTAATTGCTAATACCGAACAAACTACCTCACATTGAATAGAAACGGAGCATAGTTCAGGTTGACGCGCCAGCGCGTCAAGGGCAGTGAACGTGTTAAAGTTACACCCTGTATAAGAAAGAAACTTTATTATTATGAGAAGTGATCCCATTTGATTAAGAAAATTCTGTATTGTTTTTTAAGATTTGATCAACTTTCATATTTATACCGACCCTCTTTCATTTCAGCTAGCATAAATCTTGTTACCCCAACTGTTTCACCGGACGTGCTACGTACTGCATCTCTGCGCCATCAGAAGGGTCTGATGGCCCCCATGATTTTGCACGTCTTAAGTACACAAGAAGTGCGTTTGCCTTGTCTGATGGAAGACGAAGGTAACAGAGAATTCCCTCCAATACACGATATATATCAACCTTTGCGACAGAAGGTGTATGCCGTCTTGTTCAACCTACATCATCTGAGATATGTCCATACGAAAAAGAAAGGTAAGTTTTTTCTCAGTATTATTGTAAAACTTTGGTAAACGAGGATTTAATAATAAATTTGAGATGAAAAAAAATTGTGTAATTTCTTCCGCAAAGTACCACATTACCAGTTAATGATAATGCTGGCGTGTTCGGAAGTAAATTATTTAACTGTTGTAGAATGGAGTAGGATGTGATTCAAAAACTACTTAAGAAATACAGTTAACAGTTCATTCTGTTTATAATGTATACAGGGTGTATTTAAATGGAGGGGCACAAATGATACCAGAGATTCCTTGGGTGAAAATAAGTCGATTTAACCTAACATACCTATATCCCAAGTCGCATAATAAAAAAGATACAGGGTGTCAAAGTGAAAAATAAAAAATGGTTTTTCCTAAATAATTTCTATAATTTTAGTCAGAAATGTTTCAAATTTTCAACAGATAGGTTTTTTAATGATGGGAAAAATAATATGATCATGATTTTTGAGTGTTGAGTACGTGGCGCCCTCTGCAGGCAACGTTATGCATTGAATATGTAGGAACTTTTTTGCCAACCCCCGTATACAGCTTTCAGTAACAAAATATGAAATATTGGACTTTTTTGAACAAAAAAGATATACTTATTGAAAATGGCTAAAGCCAACCGTTGAGGAGATATTTTTAATTTCATAAATTAGTGTTACGGATTTATACCTCCACGAATTCCAAGGACTTAAATAATAGAAAAAAACGAGTAAGTCAATGTCATTTGATAATAGTCGTAAATTACAATTTTGAAGTATTAGTTTAAAGTGTTAACTGATTTTAGTCACTATTTACCTGCGTCCTAAATATTAAATAGTTTTGGAATTGAATAAAATAACAAATTATGTATACTAATGACGAGTATGTCGATATGTTGCAGGAAAATGGAAATTACTTCAAATAACCTTTAAAAATCTTGTTTTTCTTTTATTGTCAGCCAATTGTTTCTCTTAAATTATCTGTTGTTAAGTGACTCTTGGTTTTAGTTGTTTTGCTCTTTTTTCTAATAATTATTTTTAAACTAACAATAAAAGTATTTTGCAATATTTTTTCACCTGAACTGTTATTTCATATGAGATTTCTTGAATGCAGGGTTTAAATAATTTGACATGCACAAGAAAATCTGTTTTTTAATAAAGACACCGAAAAAACAATTAAATAGAAATTATACAACAAGTGTATTCACATATGCTAGAATATAACGCAAAAAGAGTAAAGTAAATTTAAAACAGGAAAAATAATGTTGTCTCCGTTGATTCCTGAGCCCTGTTTTGGTTTTAAATACAGATACACAACTAATAAGTACTGCAAGGTAATGCGTTCTGAATTTATTAACAAAAGTGTCTGTTTGTACCTTGGTATTCATGGAGGTATAAATCCGTAACACTAATTTTTTGAAAGTAAAAATATTTCCACAACGGTTGGTTTTAGCCATTTTCGATAAGTATACCTTTTTTGTTGAATAAAGTCCAGTATTTCATATTTTATTACTAAAAGCTGTATACGGGGGTTGGCAAAAAAGTTACTACATATTCAATGCATATCATTGCCTGCAGAGGGTGCCTCGTACTCGATACTCAAAAATCGTTATTGTATTATTTTTCCCATCATTAAAAAACCTATCTGTTGAAAATTTGAAACATTTCTGACTAAAATTATAGGAATTATTAGGAAAAACCATTTTTTATTTTTCACTTTGACACCCTGTATCTATTATGCGACTTGGGATATAGGTATGTTAGGTTAAATCGACTTATTTTCACCCAAGGAATCTCTGGTATCATTTGTGCCCCTCCATTTAAATACACCCTGTATACTAGAAAGGTCGGCAAGCTCCGCTGACGCGGAGTTGACCTTTCTCACAGGCTTACGGCTCTCGGGCCACGCTGTGACATGAATACAGCTGCGCGGTGCTTTCCTCGCCGGTTGGTAAATATATAACATTATTTGGAACACCCTGTATATAAAAGTCATCAACATCGTAACTTCATAATTATCTCTAGACCGTTCGAAGTTCAGCGCAATATTTTTAGACATCCTGTGTATAAAAACATATTTGAAAAGTTATATTTTTTTCATATTAAAAGATTAAAAAAGAAAACTCCATAATGAAAGTAAAATACGGTAATATGTAAAAAAAATTCTTAGGGATCCCGTACGAGTTTCTAACCGTGGACCTCTGGAACGCAATGCGACACTTTTACCGCTGTTCCATCATCACCTCTAGACAGGGTTGTCCATATCGGTAACTGAATTCCCATTCATAGCCGAAGTAAACAGACATTTTCATAATGTTAAAATAAAAATTGTATTTTTCTGCCGTAAAATCGTCCACGAAGGACTCGGAACGGTATAAAACATAAAAATAGTCGCCCATCGCCGGAAAATTCAGTTTTGGCAATTCTGACGCTTCTACCAGTAAAAAATTTTTTGTTTTTATTTCTTTTAGTTGAGAGGTAGATTTTTGTTGTCGTTAAGTATTTGGTTGTTCTGCAATATAGAAATTGACAATTCTTTTTCAGAATCTGGTGATGTGTCAGAAAATGCTCCACAACCAGACATCCTTATAAAAGAATGGATCTACAGCCGTTCCAATCCATATCAGTACCCCGAGGAAGTGAAAGCCGAGCCATTGTCTTGGGCTGTGCCGACTTTACAACGGTTATGGTTCGGACCTTCCGTAGATGACAAGAGGAGGCGCATGCGAGCTTTATTGTCTTGTCTTAATTCTGATACGCCTTTAATATTAAACACGGCGTATGTCCCACAACACATGCTCATCATGGCGTGCGTGTTAAGGTACGTCATGTCCCAAGATAGGCCAGTAATGCGCCGACATGAGCTCGACGCCTTTTTGTGCCACGCCTTCAATCCGAATCTTATGAATCCTCAGTATTTACAAGAACTAACGGTAAGAATCAAATATAAATTTGTAGCTTTGCATTGACATTTTGTTTATTCTTAGTTAAATGTAGTGACTAGTCGCGGTGTACAGTTGGCAGCTCTGTTTATGAAGGGTGTTGATATGGCCCTCCTGGCCAATGACGCTTGTGGGGCACCTCTGCCTTGGTTGATGTGTTGTCCTTGGCTGTATTTTGATGGCAAATTATTCCATTACACTCTCACTAGGTCGGCGCACGCCAAGAACATATTAGAGGTGTGCGAGAACTACATCGAACGAGTGGTGAAGGTGGAACGTATGAGGAAAGCCATCTTGGAAGGTCTCGATGTTAAATTTGCCAAGGTTCCTCTTCCACCTTTTACAGGAGGTAAGAAGTCTAACCAAATAAGTTTTTTATCTAGTTTTTAACCTTAAGTGAATCCTTCACTGTTATTTGTCTTCATTTAAAACTTCTATTGCGGCCGTCGATTCTGTATATTATACCATTGTGCGGCCATGGGCTCGCTATTTTTGTTTTTACATTTTGCAGGCTGTAATGAGAGCAAATTAATTCTATTATATTAATCCTATAACATTATTTTTGAAATAATATTATGATGCCTTAAACATGATTACAAATTTTTAACAGCAAAGTAGAAGTAATAAATTAGATAACAACAAATTGATGTAGTATGTAAAAAAAGTTTATTAGAATAGTAGACCAATCAATAGAAGTTTTGTTTGTGATAAAAATATTAGTAGCAAACGCACTGTGCCATCATATAAAAGACTGCAGGTATATGCTTATGTTTCCTACTCAAATTTATCACTATTTAATTTTTTATAAACATTTTTTATGCAGAAAAATACGTTTTTTTTAGTTCTTTTTTTGCTTATAAAACCTAAACTAACGAAGTAATCTGAATGCTATAAAAAAACAATTGTAGAGAATCGAAATACGAATAAAACGAGAGGCCGATCGATCTGATCAGATAATTAGAAACGAAGAAAACCCGGAAAATCGGAAAAAGACCCCGCAACTATCCTTATGGTACGAAACTTTGCTGAATGATAGTCCTCAATGTGTCGATCAAAAAAGTCCATTGGACCTAGGTCTGAATAACTACCGGTCTGAAGCTACAGCCTTCTGAAGTTATCAAATCCACATGCTCGATGACCATCTAGTCCAACGATTTACGGGAGAATGAATAAAAGCAAATATTTCTTTATAAAATGACCAAACTGGTTGTTTCTTGATGTATTTTCGTGTGCTGAATGTGAATCCGTGGTCAAAATAGTTGTATCATCCTTCAGTCTCCAGAAAATCGGTAAAGCACCTACTGAAGAACAGCGATAGCGACACGTACTGCTTGAGCGACATCTTATGTTTTTTACGCATGCTGAACTTATCCGTCATCAGCATATCTGCAGCATTTCTCAGTCTTCGGAAAATAGTTGCAAGCACCTTCTTGACTTGACTTGATGGTCATCGAGCATGTGGATTCGAAAACTTCAGAAGGCTGTAGCTTCAGAACGGTAGTTTTTCAGACCTACGTGTCATGGACTTTTTTGATCAACACATTGGGGACTATCATTCGACAAAGTTTCGTACCATTCTACCGGGACCGGTTTTCTATAAGAATAGTTACTATTACATTCATTACTCCTCCATTTTTTAAGTTGGAGAGCTGACCCTGTGCACAAAAGTAGTAAATTATATGTACTTTAAAGTAGAGAACGCATTAGACTTTCGTTTCGATCGCATCACGGTCTCCTGAGATTCTTTGGAAAATATCGGAGGAGAATGCGATGCGAGCGAGACTAGCTCACGAATGTCTAGTACGAATGCATACATTATAAAACATGGGAAGGAATTGTGCCACGCGTGGCCGAGACTAGCACGGTCCGCGATGCGACGGGACCGCGACCGCCTAATGCGTTTTCTTAAGTGTGAACAAAGCAAACGGACCATTAGTTTTGGCATAATCGCAATTTTTTGGAGCACTATTTTGCAAAGTATCTGAATGCGTTGGAGGTGGTGCGATTTTAATTTTTAAGTCGGATTTTAAAAGTAGAAGTGTAATACTACAAAACGTATTTGAAATTTTCCGATAAAATGATGCGAAATAGGTGAAAAATTCCAAACATGCTCAAAAACGGCCGAGCGCGCGTACGCGGTTGAGTAGTTGGGGAAGATCGGGAGTTGAGGGGCAGTGGATATAATATAGGTATACAAAAAATTTGTGATTTACACTATAATACTCGTAGGTCACCTTTAACTATTTTTTAGTGCTAAATATTAAATGAGTGTTTTCTTAAAAACAATTAATGTTATCAACTTTCAATTAGAACAAGGTGGCTATTTATTTTTTAATATTGAGTTAATTTTTTGATATACTGAACATAAAAAAATTGTCAACTTTCTAGTCAGTGCTTTTATTAGAACTTCAGAATTTTAAATTTTTTTGCCAGTGAAGTGTACCAATAAGTGTACTTTGAAATAAATCACTTAACTGAGAAAGAAGTATTTGCAAAATATTAATTTAAAAAAATAACTGATCATGAAAGCTCTCTTAATACAGTTTTCAAAAATGTATCCATTATTTTTGGGTAGAATGACCTGAATTTTTTGTTCATAGTTTCGACACTGCATAAGATTTTTAATTCCATAGTGAAAATGTCATCATTTCCTCGCTTTAATATTAATTTGTAAAACTACATGATAAGCAAAAAAATTAATTATTTTATTTAAAGTTATTATTATTCATTATAAAATAAAGTCAATAAATGTATGAGTTTATATTTATGTTATGGAAGTCGGACGGTAATGTTTGAAATTTTATTTGACACGCCAAACTTTAATAAACTGTTAATTTACAACCTTTAAGAGAGTTCTAATATTTTCGCTACATGAATATGTAAGATTATAGATTATTTCTACATTTAAGAAAAATATCCTAGTTTTCATTTAATATAATTAGGTATGTTCTAACACAATTTGCGTAATCGCTAACAGCATAAAACTTGGTTGTACTGACACGTTTTATAAAATTTCAGCTGCAACTGTAAGTTGCATAATTTAAGACCGTTCTACCTTGAGATTGTATAACCTGTTGCAGAGTCCTGTTACCAATTTTAATGGATGTAATTCTTTTAAAACTAAATATCTTTGTTATTAAAAAATGTTGTCAAGACAAAATTATTTATATTTATTCTTACAAATGCCACTTAAAAGGAAAACCCAATTTTTCCTGAAATTTAAATTTATTTTTATTAAAATAACACGTGCATTTGTTTACAGCTCCTATGCTTAGACAGGGGCTCCCCCCACCTCACTGTTTGCCAGCAATGAATTTACCATCGAATAGAGGTACATCAACCTTGCGCCAGAGGCCGATACCGTCCAGGGGTGGTCAGTTACAGGTTGCCGGCGTGGTAGTGGGTTCCTGGGGGGCAAACTACGGCTTTCAGCCAAACATGAGGCAGCAAGTCCTTCCCGCTGGCGGGGGATTTCCTCCTCAGGGTAGAGGCAGAGGCGGCGGAGCTATGGGAAATTATCAGAATACTTATGGGGGTAGGGGAAGAGGACAGAATCGCAAACCTGGACCTCCGACCTTTCCAGTTAATACTCGAAGGAATCAGGTAAGTGATTATGCAGTTTTTTATGTCGTATTATTAGAAATTTTTGTGCTAATGAATTTTTTAATACCTGCTTTTTTAGTTGGTTTTGATTCGAGCCCTTGCAATTTATTTATTATTTTTTTTTCATTATTTAATTGTTTTAAATTGCTTACAATTCTTTACATGTTGCTTATACATTAATTAAAAAAAAAAATACATTTTTGTAATGAGTGAAGTAATGAGCGAGAATATCCTACACAGTATGTTTTGTCCTGATTTTTTAAATATTTAAATAAAAGCAACAAAATCAAGGATTAAAAAGGTATGGTGTAGAATAAATAGAAAATACAAGTATTTATAATAGACTGATTTCTCATTTTTTGACTACATCCTATGAAAATAGATTAAAAAATGAGTACGTCGGTTTAGTTGTAGTAATTTTTAGAGCTTTTTAGTGTATCTTTTCACTGCTTTTGAAGTTTTATGAGTAATTCTTTCAGTGCTGTCAGGTTCATTACTTCCAACATTTGTCAAGTTTGACAGATATTGGCAACATGTATGCATATACATATTTAACGTATATTTCATTTCATGCATTTTTCTTAATATTTTTGGGCAAGGTATTCTCTACAGGAGGTATCGTGTAAAACATGATATTTATGCATCTTGCTTATCAATTTGCCTGTGATGACGTTCATTGCAATAAATGTTCGTGTTTGTGTTATCGAATTTCATTGTTGGTCATCCTCATATGTTGAATTATGTCATGTTCATTTTTGCCGATAATTGGTTGACTGTCAGTCTCCGATAGTTCTGGGTAACTTACTTTGATGTCGATCTATCCAGATAACTTTTTCTTCAGTATTTGTTATCCAAAACAAGTTATTTTTCAGGAACTGAAAGAATATCCATGAACTGGCAACATGCACAATTTTGCTAATTTAGTCTATCATGTATCAGTAACAAGAAAAAAGTTAACTCATGTACGAGGGTAAAAATGATTACCCTACATTATATCAGTTCCTTTTTAATTAATGTCATTTATAACTGTCACAGGGATGAGGTAATTAACTAAGTCTGAGTTGGTTGTTCACGAGAATTGTGGTGGTCGCAATTTTGATCTGAACGCAAAATGGTTGTTTTCCTGCATTTATAATATGTTTTCTAAGAATATGAACTTCATTGCGGGTAAAAATTGTAAAAATTGAAGTTTTGACACGTGTTTGAAAAAAATCATTTTTTTTTTTTACTTATTTTGAATAAACAATACCATTAAAATTATATCATCCCAATTGTTGGTTAATGTTCTTTGTAATTTTATAAAGAAACACTTTAAATTTTCATAATGATCAGTTCATAACTTTCTGAGCTAGAGTTCCCGTGAATAAAAAAAATGTCGTTTCGACAAAAACTAGTTTGATGATTTGCGAAAACTAGAAATTTGAGAAAGTTATTAATAATATATAGAGTGCTTTCCAATCAATCAGTGACTCCAGTACAATTTAGCAGTCCTTCTTCCTCAGGCATCATTCTGAGCTTGCATCTGTTCTTTCCTTGCTTAATAAACGACTAGAATCCCTGAACAAGCACTCTGCCCTACCTGCTGTATGCCCAAGTGCTGACCAGAGGCATTTGGTTTTAGGCATAAAATCTAAACGAATGAGAAGTTTTGAAATTTAGGCAGCATATTCTTGAATAATTCTACTAACAATTTGCGCAATAAAAGAAAAAATCCGATTTTTTGAACTTCCTAATATGGTTTCCCTCCATCTAATATTTTTTTTGAGTGAATTATGATTAAAAGTACTTATCATGGAAACATCCATGTTTTGTCATGATTTAATTATGTTATTAAGTAGGCAATGTCAATAATGTCTGTCAGTAGCTTCTTCTTTTCATTTTCATTTTGAACTCAAAGATAGGGAGAGGAAAAATAGGAATAGCATATAATGTCATCATGGAAATAACTGCTGTAAAATTACTAACGAATAAACATCTAAAACATCAAAAAGCCAAATTGTGTGAAATATTGTGAAATATTTTGTTTATTATAGCAGTTAATCTCTAAAACGTAAATTTGATATAAAAATGTAGAGAACTAAATCATTCTAAAATAACATATTCCAACTTGATATTTCAAAATTACATTAAAAAAGAAAAATGTATATTAGATACCTCGTTTTTTTGTTGTTGCTGCTGTTATAATTTCACAATATTAAGTAATGGAAAAAGTAATGGAGAAATAATAAATAGAAATATGACAATTGCGAGTATCTCTGAAGCCACAGATAGTCCCACCTTAGAAGTAGTCAGAGTGCTTGTTATTTTTCCTCTACCTAATATTTGCTTAAACCAAAATCACCAATATCAAGATATTTGCACAAGGGTAGCATGATCTAACCCAGGCGTTCTTAAGCTGTAGTCCGCCAAGTAGAGATGGGCAATGGGAAATTTTCCGTCCCGGAAAGTTTCCAAAACGGAAATTTTCCGGGAAGAAATAATCGAAGCTTGAGAAATTTTCCCTGAAAAGTTTCTGAAAAAATTTCCGTCGGAAATTTTCCGGGAATATTTCTAACAATTTGTAAACTTGGAGCCAATTTTACTTCTAACTTCTACGAACATTGAACATACACAAAAAATCGTTGGTTAATTTCGTATTTTCGGTTAATTCGGAATACCAGAAGACCATATTATCCAAATAAGTTGGAAAACACTTACACTTACTTATTTTAATCTTTGTTAAGTCTACAATCTACATAATAGAGAGCAATACAAGACTCATAAATTGCCTCCTTTTCAAATTTAATATGAATTTTGATAGTTGAACCAAAGTACAATTACATTTTAAAACTAGTATAATTATTTAATGTATTTACTATTTGTTTGTTAAAAAATAAGGATAAATATTGTATACTGTATAGTGTTTACGTACTGTAACCCTCAGCATGTAATTTTTTCTAATGGATGATTAATACATAATTTATATTTTTCCTATACCAATATAAATAAAAATGTATATAAGTATTTGGTCTTTTTGGAAAGCTGATGGTATGTAGAACATAATACCAAATCCAAAAAAAATTTTGAAATTTTCGGAAAATTTCCGGAATTTTCAATGGAAACTTTCCAGGAATTTTCATAGTTTGGGAATTTTCCCATCTCTACCGCCAAGTTTCTGAGAACATTTAACCACCAATAACAACTAATTAAGAAAATGCACTATCTTATGTGAGGGTGTAATTTATTGTTTATCTTTCCAAAATTTACATTTGGGGTGCAATTTAGAATTAATCAAACCCATTTAAATTGGGACTTATATCTAATAGCCTAAGAGCTGGCATGATTTTTTTCCCATCATTTGTACCACATTAATGTTGAAATATGGTTTAAAGTGAACAAATATTGCTGCATCTGCCATTGCAAACCGACAGCGTTTGGCCGGAGGCGACTACTCAAATTTGTACCACCTGCAGACTATGAAATTCGGCTTAAGGAATACAATTTGACCACAAAAGTGAAATGTCAGACAAAATAATTGGTAGCGTTTCTTAATTACATCCAATAATAGGGCTTCACTATAAACTTCATAGCAGTCTGTGAGTGCAAGCGAGATGAACTCAGGCTCGCAAACGCGCAGCGGACTGAGAAGGATATATTATTCGATTTAATACATTGGATGCATGTTTAGTGGCTCTGTAAATAGATTTGTACGAAAATAAACACAAGAAAACATATATTTTATTGAAACTTAACATTCAGTAATAAGAAAACTAAACATTATACACTCTGAAATAAAAAATACGAAAATTTTGCCGCTTTGAGGGACACTTATTTGTTTTAATCTGAAGTGTGTATACATTTCATTGTTTTCTAATGGCGTGTCTATAAACTTGTCGTGCTATATTTTTCAACTTATAATCGTCTATCTAAAGTAAGTTAAAACTTATACTATTACGAAAGCCATACTTTCAGCGTGTGTATTTTTTTTCTAAACATTGTTTATTTTAGCATTCCTGTGTCTCGACGGGGGAGTCGTTGGCTAAAAGCCCCAATTTTTTTGCTTGCCAAAATTATCAAATTCAGATATACTATAATTCAATATTAGTATACAATGCACGCTCGTTAATCTGCTGCCACGTTTTTTTGAATGCCACGAAAATAAAAAGCTTCATTAGGCCGTCATGTAGGATTGCTAAAATAAAAAAATGTTTAGAAAAAATACACACGCTGGAAGAATGGCTTTCGTAGTGGTATGTTTTAACTTATTTTAGATACACGATTATGTTAAAAAATATAGCATGACAAGTTTATAGACATGCCATTAGAAAAGAATGAAATGTGTACACACTTTCGATTAAAACAAAGTTGTCCCTCAAAGTGGCAAAATTTTCATATTTTTTATTTCAGTGTATAATTTTTAGTTTTATTATTACTGAATGTTGTTTCAATAAAATATATGTTTGCTTATATTTATTTTCATACAAATCTATTTACAGAGCCACTGCGCGTTTGTGAGCCTGGAGTCATCTCGCTTGCACTCACAGACCACTACAATGTTTACGGTGGAACTCTATTACTGGCTGTAATTAAGAAACGCTACCGACCATTTTGTCTGCCATTTCACTTTTGTGGTCAAATTGTATTCCTAAAGCCGTATTTCACAGTCTGCATGTGGTACAAATCAAGGAGTTTTTGAAATATAAAACAAATTTGAGTAGCCGCCTCTGGCTAAACGCTACCGATTTACAACGGCAGACGCAGCGATACTTGTTCACGTTAAACCATATTTCAACATTAATATGCTCATCCTTTGGTGCAAATGATGGGGAAAAAATTATGCCAGCTATAAGTAACTAGGGGTCCAAAACAACAAAGAAATATTGAAAGGAGGTCTGTGGTAAACAAAAGCTGATCTAGCGAATTATGCTACTGGTAGGGTTAACGTGAAAAGTTGGTAGGGTGTTTCATTTTCGGTTTGTAAACTACTAATAGTTACTTACTGTTACTTACTTATGCTCTTGTCTTTAATCCATGTATGTAAACATCTAATGCACCAATAACTAATAAAAATTAAAATTGCTTTTGACCATAATTAAAAATATATCGTTTATGTTTGTTTATTAATTTTCATTAGTTTTTGTAGAATCACTTTATTAGATGATTAATTTACAATATGAAATTTTTTGTATTTTATATATACATATTTTTTTTGTGGTAGCTTGGTACCTACTTTTACTCCCCTAATTACTCTACTAAATTTCAATTTTCTTGTAGGCAAACAAAAAACGTAACACTAACAAATCTAACAAGGGTCAAAAGCCGCAGGGACCGACATTAACAGTTAAAACTGAAAGCGGGTATGTAAAATCAGCGAAGAGCTCGAATTGAATAAACCTCGTTTTCTATTTCCAGAGACGTTCCAGTGAATGATGTGATCCTGACAGAGGACGGTTCTACGAGTACAGGAGGCAAAAAAGAAGACTGCAACAAGAGCACAGAACACAAGGGTCAAGGGGACGCTCCTTGCAGGGTAGATGCCACCTCGAATTAAGATTCTAAGCGTGGAACTCGTGTGTTGTGTGGTCTGTATGAGGGATGTATGTGACTTTATTATTTTTTTTTTTGTATTTTTTGTATACAAATCGTGAGGAAATGGTTATTATAATGCCACTCGCTATAAAACTTGCGGACACCGAGACAGTGACTCTTATAAAGTGCCCCGAAACAAAACAACTGATTTTAATTCGCGTTAGCTCGACAACGATAATCCACGAGAGCAGTGTTGGTGCTGGTATTGGTCGGTTAACAATGGTAGGTCTTTACAGGGTTGGAACGATGTATCGACACTGCTATAGCTGTGTTCAGATGGTCTGCAACGCTGACTGATTGTTTGAGAGCATATGTATATTTTTCTATGTTTGTTACAACTGTTATAATTATATATTGACTGAGAAAGGGCGCTATAAGTGCTACTGTGATCATATTTATGGTATTTATACGTTAGATCTGTTGAATGGAGCAATGTAGATTGTCAGCGACCCACGATCGAGACAGTTTATATTGCGCAGAAGATGGTTAAGGATGGTTCGCTATATAATATATATATATTCGATGACCTTTCGGTGTAATATTTGAAATTTTTCAATAAAACCGAATCAACCGTATAAGTCTTTTTGTGAATTATAAACTTACTAAATTCATATATAAACGCCTCGGGGAAATTTTTCCACCGTAGTCAAACGCAAAGGCTTTAAATGCGTTGCACATATACGATTTTTTGTGTATTATGGCATCGTGTGACTTTTTTTGTGTTATCTTTACATTTGTTTACAGAGTGGTGCGTACTGTGAGTGTATGTGAAAAAAATACCTTTGGGTATTGAAGTACTTTTTTATGCTTATATTTTTCATAAGCAGGTCTAAATATCCAAAGGTAAGATTAAAACGTAATTATCACTCATTTCAATTCGGATGGGTTGAGTCGTAAATGTGCAGCGAGCCTAAAAGTTTGTTTACTCCTTGAAGTGGTTCGATCTGATAAGGATTTTTGTTGTAGGAAAATTAAAATCGTGAACAATTCTAATCTTCGCTATGACCTTTGGTTGTTAAAACAAGTTTTTTTACACGACTATGTAATTCCCTTGAAAATTCTCGTTTGCTTGTGCAAAATAACGTGGCCCTTATATGTGAATTTGGTAAAATTTGAAATTTGACATTTGTCCTCACTGCAAGATACAATCATTTGTATCGTTTATAAAAAATTGCCCAATAAAATGTACAAACACTTCTATGTATATTAGTCCTAAATGAGAGTTGGTCCGACTTCTTCCGTTAGAGACGTGAAACCGCCCATTCGATTAGTATTTCAGATGGGACATTTAACGGAAAAAGTGCACAACTCGTAATCGAAAATTTAATGTTCAGATTTGCGCTATTGCTCATAGGAGACAATATAGCTTTTAAATACACTGAACTTGTAACTGGAAACAACAAAGTAATTGTCACGAAAACATTAAACCAATCGAATCAAATGGATTCTTAATTTAATACAAAGATATTGCTTATCAAAAGAAACATGAAATATGACATTTTTAATATTTTAGTAGCTGTTTATCCTTACACGTAGTTCTTGAATCGATCAATTTAGCTCACAAAGATATAGTAATATATTAGAAATTTCTCCATAACCGGACGAAATTCTAGTGGTTGTTCATAAAATATGTATCCCTTGTGTTGTAAAATTGTTGCTGTTTTCTTTGATGTATTATGGCGACATAAACATTCGCATGTATTTCCTTTAAATACTTTATAAGGTTGCTTCTTTTTTAGTTTTTAAGCGAATGTATTTTTGGGAGGGTTTTTTGTTTATTTGGAATATTTTTTGCTAGTAATCAGTTTTAATATATGTTTATGAAAATTGCCCTCTTATTGTTTAAATAACAATTTATAATCTTATATAATAGTATAATCTAATGCTTAACATATAGCGATATTTGGAAATGTAGCGTATTACAAAGTTTATTTCTTCCCTTTTAATCTATTTAATTCACTATATGCAAGATATTTAACATTGTAATTTCTGATATATATGTGTATATTGGCTCTGTGGGTGAAAGGGCATCCATAATTAAATATAAAAGTATAATAATTAGAAATAGTAATTGTGATTTTGGAAAACTTGGGACAATATTGCTCCTGTGAACATGATTTTATTTATTATATCGGTCATTTTTGGAAATTCAATTGCTTACGCTGTTGTCTTGATGTTTATTCTGAAATCACCGTGAATCCAGTTTCACTTTTTTCTTGTATCCAATTTTTAAAAACAACTATTCAACTGTTAAGACAGTTTATGTAAAATGGGCATCAGAAACATTTAAATTTATGTAAATGTTAGCAGGCAGAACATGTTAGAAAGGTAAACGCGAGTTTTCTGTGCAGTTGAAAGAGTTTGTTTGATATATAATATACAATTGAACCATTTATGTCATTTATTTTCATCTCCCCTATCATTTCCTTACAAGAAGTTTAAATTGTAGCAGCGTTTCATTGATAACTAGGGTTACCAGATCTAGTTCATGTCAGACCCGGAGAAATAAATAAATGCCTAAAAAAAGGGTCTCGGAAAAACTGAGAGTCCGACTGTTCTCGAACAAATCGATCTCTAAAAAAAAGGACGTACTCAGGAAATATCTATTTCTCTACCTGGACCGGAAAATAATTGATGACTAAAAAAAACTGACAGAATCAGGACATATGGAGAAGAAATCACAATTTTTCCAGGAAACCCGGAAAAATTACATGTTAACCCGGAGCCCGAAGATGTACCATCAAAACCCGAAGGCTCCGGGTCAAACCGGGATATCTGGCAACCCTAGTGATAACTTGAATTAAAAGAATTATGTTTTGATGGTAGAAATAGGCGGGAAAATAGTTTTGCTTTTTTATTTTTTTTTTTGTATATGCAACCATGAATACACTAAAGTGTAAATATGATTTGCCAGTACTGGCGTATTCTACAAAATTGAATAAACGCATGGTTTTGGTAAAATTTTGGAAGTTTTGCTCCAGCCCTTTCAGGAAAATATTAAAATTTATTATTGTTGATGAATTTGGTAAAACATAGTTATCACCAAATCATTTTCTTCCTAAAATATTCGCCTTCTACTATGACTACAAAAAATGGTCGACGACATCCTTTATTAATAGAAACTACGGACAAATTCACATTGTGTCTAAGGCATAATTGTGATAAGAGCAGTGACTTAAATATACTACCCCCAGACAGTTTCATATAACTCTTGGCATGGGCGTCCCCAGAAAAATTTCTCGGTGGGGGGCAAATCGAAATTGTGGATGTGTATTTAGCTTAAAACATATATCTCACGAAATTTTAGACAGATAATACATATCTCCTCTCAAAAGCGTTCACGGTAATGGAAATACAGTTTGTTGGTTTATACTGCAATCAATCAATCCAATTTTATTTTATTATTTTTTTATTTATTTTAATTATTACGTGTTCAAAAGCTATGTTATCATACAAATTATGATGGAAAATAAAATACGGGAGTTTTCTTTTATGCAACCATGAAATCATTAAAGTGTAAGTATGGTTGCCTAAATTGCAGTACTGGCGTATCCAACAAATTTAAGAAATTTCATATTTCCGGTAAAATCTTGGAAATTTTTTGCTCCAGCGCTTTCAGCAAAATATCAAAATTTATTAATGTTGATGCTTTGGATTAACACTGAATTATCACTAAATAATATTCATCCTAAAACTTTTCCTAAAGATTGCACTGTTGTGTATCCTTTATTAATGCAATCTATCGACAAATTCGCATTATGTCTAATGCATAATTGTGATAAGAGCAGCGACTAAAATATACTACATCCTAACCCGCAAGCTCTACGGAGGTACTTTTTCTAAATAAAAAACTGATATAAAATTTCAAAACATAAGCACTTTTTGGTTTGATTCTATAAAGGTCACGCAATCAGCGACTGGATGATATGAAATTTTAAAACCTAAACACTTTTTGGTTTGATTCTAAAAAAAGCAAAACCTAAACACTTTTTGGTTTCATTTTGCTAGGTCTTGCCGAGGCTCAGAGTTATAGCCCCAGGGTCTGGGTTTCGTTAGGTTTGTTTCTGCAGCAGTTGAGGGCTGATTGAAACTATCAGAGATATTTTACCAATTCATTAGTAACTTTATACTCACTGAAAGTATGTGACAACTTAATTCCGAGTATATCTGATAGTGTGAAAACAGTTTGAGACTGCTCCAGGAACAAACCTATTATCCTGGTGACTAGTAACACACATCTTCGAACCTTGCTTCTTTGATATAGCTTTCATTTAAATAAATGTTCTATAAAAAAGCAATTATTTTTCCTTAATTTTTTTTAATGAAATGTATATACATAACAAATTATAAGTTTTTGTTTTGATTTTCTGCTATATAATACAGAAAAAATTTGACATCATCTACATTTTCCCATTCAAATCAACCGGTTACTCCATTTCTCTGTGACCGATGGGATTTACCCAAATAGTAGTTGCGCCATTTATTAATATTTGATATCTTAAGGTAACTTTATGAGAATTAAAAAAAGGTGTAGTCTGTTACTGTCTTAAATCTTAAGGATTTACATCGTAAATATTTCAGATAAATTTGTTGTAAGATTAAGAAGATTTAAAGGAAAGTAAATATGTGAAAAAAATGATTTACTTAGAATAGTAATTCAAGATTGGGACACACTTACACACGATTCTATTTTTAAATACACATTGGAATAACTAATATGTCAAAATAATAATGTTTTTCCACTTGCACGCATATGACACGAAAGTAAACACTTAGGTTGGAAAATGACAAATCAAGAAATAAAATGGTGTGACACTGACTGACCGTCTTTTTATACACGTTATTGAGCTGGTACAAACTGTACGCATTAGATATATGTTGGTATAGTATGCTAGGCGAGTTTTAAACTGAATACACTTTAGCATAAAATTTAAAATAAATTAAAAAATATTTCAAAATATGAACGAATAATTCAAACTAGAGATTCTACAATATGATTTTTATCGAGTACAGTACGTATTTTTTGGTCAACGTGCTTAATGTCGTCGATTTTAATAAGGCAGGTAGTAACAATAAATCTACATATCTGTTACTAATTGTATTGACTTGCACCAGCAGTTTTGATTACATTTACAAAATCCCCAAAGCAAACACAGGTGTGGCATAGAAAGCCACTGAACAAATGATACGAAGACACGATCTCCCGTGAGTGAGGAAGCCACTTGGTCAAACAAATTATTTGTTTGTTCAGCAGAGCTCCACGGGGAGTATCTTGATCAGGATGAGCCAGAGCTCCCTTGTTGCTTAAGCTGTGGCACGCGCCCCTGTGATATTTAACACCGCCAATTTAATCTACATACATTTTATGGTATAAATATTAAGTCATCAAATTATAGGACAGGCAATCAGCGGTGTGTTATATAGGGTGTACCCTAATTCGACTGTTAAACTTCTACATGTTGTTCCTTGATTCACATAAAAAGTTCAAATTGTGAAAGACTGTTTTGCTTATTCGAAAAAATAATGTGAATACATGAAAATGCATTCGCTGTACGGTGTCTACGGCCTATGGAATATTGGAATAAAATGTCGTGGCTATATTATACTTATTCCGGATCTCTAATTTGCATGAAGACGATTGGTGTGTATATATATCGAAATTCTCGTAAACAGGATTGTTTGGCTAGTTTTTTCACTATTTCTGTGACTATTTTTGTGTTTATGCCTTTTTGATAGGTAGGTACAGCTTTTTAAGCTTGGCTTTATTCCTTGGGATCTTCGCTGTAGGCAAAGAAAGTCCTGAGCGGATTGAATGCTAGATGACTGGTAGAGCGGTGCGTACGCAACAAATTTTTAGCATATATGGATATGTGTCAAGCAAAGGGGTGCTATACAATGCAATTATGTGATTAAAGTTGCTATTCGATCAACGAATTACGAAAAATTGTTGTTTTCAAGTTTCTCGAATTTGTCCTTTGAAATCCTCGTACAGCCTTGGCTCTTCTTTTTCCATTCAATAAGAAAAGGTAGCTTCAAGGCAATCAATATGCTTGATCTTGGGTCATGTACTCACACTGACCAGACTTCCGCTCTGATTACATAACTGAGTCGACGTTCGATTACATTTGAGGGTAAGCTCGCGAATTTTCGGGAACTGGTGTGTAGTTTGGATCCTAATGACGTGTTCACGAAACTGGGGTGAAAAGTTATCTCAGATCATTGGTTGCTCTGCTAACAGCGTCTGGCTCTCCTGTTGTCTTCTGCTGAGGTTTCGGATGTTTGCAGTGGTTTGGGCTCTGTGGATAGTTTTGGCGGTTGAATTCGAAACATAGGTAAAAATTTGAAAAACTGAAAAATCACCCCGGTCCCGAATGTCGGAAAACTTTTCTGAAAAATGCGAAATTCAAACTGGGGAACCACAGTACGAAATTACAGTATCACGTCAGACTACATGTCCATTACCCATCCTAAGGCCAATTATTGTCCCAATCTAAGGCAAACTTCGCTACAGTACTTCTGCGGACCCATCAAGATATGGGATCAAACGTCTACCTTAGTACTTTACAATTCGGTAACCAGGAACAGAATCTCACATACTCATTTATTATTATCAGTAAAAATTGTTAATCAATAGGAGGCCCTCACAAACTCCAGGAAGCTTCCAAATTCCAGGTACCCAGAAGAGACCACAAAACCAGTGCTACGAAAGACGAAGCCTAAAACTTTTATATTTTTCATGAACATTTATATTTTACGTTATACTCTAATTTAAGTAAAATTTCTCTAATTATGTGCGTAGTAAACTCATATCAACTAATTGGAAAAACATATGATGAGGAGGTCACCTTAATCTGTAAAAAATTTGCATATCTGTTAATATAACTCTCCAGTTGCGAACTTGCGGTTATACATTATGCCGTCGAGACGCTATTGTGCAATGAGCGTCGACACAAAGATTAATTTAATAAGCAACATGAGAAGCCGCCCAAGTGTGATTCCAATGTTCAAGTGAAGCCAGACAACACACTAATCAATAATTAAATGTAACTATAGTGACTTTTCCGCCGTGTAAAAAGTAGCTTTCACTTCGGAAATGTTTTTTTTAATCAAGTGCTCCCCTAATTGATTTACAAAGAAGTTACTTCAACAGTGAAAATGACTATTTAGCAGTTCAAAGAAAAAACTAAAATATGTATGCAATAAGTATGTAAAGTTACACTTTTTGTACATATCTTTTATTCGCCCTATTACAAATATACTATATATGTACTATATTAATTGAATATACAAGATTATTCATTTAACATTCTACCAGATAAGGGCATCTCTGCTGCTTTTGTATTAAAAAAAAGTTGTAGGAAATTCTTTTGTGATTTCAGAAAACAATTGGATG